ATTTCATGTCAGATACATTTGGAAAAATTATTATTAAGTTATATATTTATATGAAATATTATTTAAATATCCTTATACACATTAATTCTCATTCAAATAACATTTTCTTGTAGAATTCCAACTGAAAACATTTTAATATTTTGTATGAATATATGATTTAAACTATAGATTTTATAGACATATAATTCCAAGTGTTTCCAACATTTCACATGTTTTATTTCATAATTAGTGAAGATTTGGTTAAAAAATTATCAGTTCTAATTGTGTTTTTAATGTTGCACTTATTGATGTTAGTGAAGTTATTTTGAATTTAATTATTTTAAAAAAAATGTGGAGGCCAATTTTTATGCAAAAAGTAGGGTGATGTATAGTCAACTTTCCTGAACTATGTCATTTAAATGACTATACTATGTTCATGCACAATAATTAGATAATATAATTTTAAGACTGAAAATTGTTATATGATTAGTTCTTTAAATAAATATCATACTATCAAAAGGATATATTTTGAAATATGATATTTATCTGATTTGAAATCAGAATCATAATTTATGTGTTTACGCTTGGATGTTCTAATCAATTGATTAGAACATCCAAGCGTCATCTTTGATTTTCATTCATGGTTTTATTCTGTTATGTCTGACAAAATTGTAATCATCTGTTTTAACTGAAAGTATGACTCACTTGTTATATATTTGACAAAATTATAAATATTGTTTTATTTCAAAATTATTGATATTTTCATGAATCAGTTTATTATACTTTTACCAGAAATCAGTTTTAGGTTAATGTCATTCATTTTTTTTCTTAAAACAGATCAATGGCATATTTTATTTAAAAAATGAAATCAAATTTTTTATATGGAATATACTCAAGAATCTTGTGTGAAGGAATAGAAAGTTGCATGTATGCAAACTCCTGAGATCATAATACTATTGATATTTTTAAAGATATTTTATCGAATCTCCATGATTTGAAAACCAAAATTTGAAACTATATACTTTCTTTGGGTTTGAAAATACAGTTTTCTAAATATGAGAAATTTCTTTTCAGTTTTCAACTATAATCTTCTTCCATATTCTTCTTCAAGATATTTTAGCAAATCAATACCATAGTCATGAAATTTTTTCTAAAAAGCTATTCGTTTGGAACGTTATTATAGTGCTTCAGAATTATTTTCATTTTCAGATAATTATATTTTACTTCTCGGGCGAGAAGATTTCAGCTATAGCCGTAGTTGCATGGGGGATGGAGACCGGTTCATTGTCCAATTCCTGCCCAACAGTTAGTATAACATTGCCACCTGCGAAACAGGGTAGGCGTGCTTTTTACGGTGGTGAGCTCACCTGTTGAACCGGGCCGAGAGACCAGATCAATGAGATCTGCCGTGCTGCCACGGTGACTATCACTTTTCTACACGGTGGTGTAAGAAAACAGCGAGTACGGTTTACGCCTGGAAGTCCGTAAATGTGGAGCCTAGGGAGGGATGGTGACCCTCGGGGAGAAGTTGACCGGACTCATAGTTAGCGTGAGAAGTTGTTCTGACGAGGGACGCCCTCTTCGACCACGTTCCGAAGTGGCTCCGTTTAGAAGGTCGGACGACGTGGACATGGTCTCTCGGCAGTGTGAACTCGGCCCAATTGTACCTCGATCAGTCCAGGGGACATGTTAAACAAGTCTGTAAATAGGGCGAACGATGGTTAAGGACAGTACTATTCCGAGAGCCCTATCATGAGAAGATCCCGTACAAGGACGATGGGTTCAAATCCCTAATTCCGAACATTAAACCTGCGGGGTCTGTGATTGGTGTCCTAAATGCCCACTCTAAAAACTGCAATCAATGGAGGGCCGCGAAATTGATTTACACGTTGCAATATTCCAAGCTCATGTTCGGGTCCTCATTTGTCGCTCCCGCTCATAATTAGAGCATGTTCAAACAAATCATGTGCCCGTCCTCGTGATTTGGTCTCCACCGGGAATTCTGAGCAAATCTCTCGCGAATTTGCCTGCAATTTGCGATGTCGAGGAGCTTGCCGAAGGGATAGGTGAAGAGTCGCTGATGGCCATGCCTGCTGGAGCGGTACGATGTGCGAACGCCTCTGATGAGGTTCGGGGCATGATTAGGCGCAGAATAGAAGGATTAAGACAAAGTGAGGCTGGCACTAAGCCAGCCGACCTCTTGATTGGACTCGGCTGCCTGGCTCGAGTCAGCCCTAAACCCGCTCCGTAAGCGTCGTTGGCCGCAGCGACGTCGGCACCCTCCCTCCCTCCATATTAAGTCGCACCAGACCAAAAGGGACTCGCGCTTGGCGAAGCTCAGGCAAGTGTGCTCCGAAAAGGTCGGCGCCGTTGCTTGTTTGCAGCAGCAGCCGGAGGTTGTGACGAGGTCCTTGCACTCATCGACTCGTTCATTCGCTTGCTCAAAGCATACCCCAAAATTGTGTAGCGACGAACCACAGTCTCGAACTCAATCATCTAATCGGTCGCCGAACACGACATGCTCGGTCGGACAAAGGCCAGCTGTACATTGTCCAGTGCCATCGGAGCGACGAAGGGGAGCTGGCGGTTCGCCATCGCCATCCGGTCTACGGCGACCGGATGCCGGGACGAACCACTAGCTTCCCTTCGCCGCTCCTAGCGAACATTTGAAGGAAACTCTTTTCGTATGAACAGCCCACCTCTGCCCCATAGTACAACTTTGGAACCGTAAGCACGAAATCAGAAATCCGAATCGGGGGACGACGACGACGACGACCGACATCATCAGAGAGAGAATGAGCGCCATTCCTAGCACGATAAATGCCATAAACGACATACTCATCGATCGTAAGCCAGAAGAAGGACAATTCGTTGTGTGTAGGGCTGGAATTGGAGAAGTCCAATCGAATCCTGTTTCTGTGGGCAGGCTCGAGGTCGTGCCCGTGGCGGAGATTTCCGCCCATGCTATACTTATCGGCCCGGCCAGTGGACAGACTTCTACAGGAGAGGCCCAGATCCAAGTTTAGAGGGGCCTTGTCGTCCCGCGAAAAAGAGGCTGAAAGTCCTGTCGTGTCGACAAAAGCTCTTCCCTTTTTTTATAGGGGGATTCATTACTGGGATTCATGAGAGTCAGCACGTTCTTCGCCGTCTCCTATTTAGTGAGTTGGTGGATAAGTTCGTTATGTTGAATCTGACCTCTGGTGTCCCATCGTTCGCTATCTTGCTATCTCCATGAAGCGAATTCCTTTTGACTTCGAGCGTCTCCACCGGCTCTGGCCGCAGAAGACGGGTAGAGTCCATGCTCTCACCGTAATCGCCATCGCCATCGCGCGGTACACGGGATAGAACCTACTCCCTAAACGATCTCGTAGCATCTTCTGTGATTGGTGGTGGGTAGGTGCCAACATCCAGAGAAGTCTCCTTCTCAATAACTGATTACGTGATTTTATATTTTGGCCTTATTATTATTATTTTATTTTTCACTAATATTCTACAGACGTGTACGTGATTGGGTATGCAGTTTCGGAATTTATTGAGAACAATTTTCGGAGTGTTAGACTTGCAAGTTCGTACCATGTCGATCAAATTTCGAGGACAATCCAGTCTCCGTGTTCAGTTCGATTGGCCATTACACCATCCGTATTTGCATGTCGAAGTTGGTGATTCCTGGATCCTTACATCGGAGCGTCATTAAACTGCGCACTTTCTCTCGGTTTGTGATCTGACCCGAGATTCGGATCTGATAAGAAAGATATATCTTATTCATATTTTTTAAGAAACAGCGATTGATTGGATATAAATTAAAGAATAAAGGAAATTAGTTTTGAACTTAAAAAACCTAAACTCTAGTAATGGAGCCACATGCTCGGAGGAGTAAATGGGTGGTAACTCGGTCTTCGTCCACCGTGATGACTACGACGGCGAATCTTACACGTTCGGCGACCAAAGCGAACTGCGTTCGTGCGGACGGCACGTGAAGAAGACGCAAAAACTCGATGACTGTAACTGCGCTGTACAGCTATGTGCGAACCGGGTGCGAGCCTAGGCGCCTTGCCGACGACCCGTCTTGGCGGGAGACCGCGATCCGCCTTTCGGATTTCGACGGCCGGACATGACTCCGACGTACGTCCGTGTAGTCCACCCCATGCAGAGGATCGCGCCGGTGGAATCAACTTCGTGGCAGTCTCGCGATTTTGGAGATTCTGGCCGCGAACACCGGTTTCGACCGAAAATGGTGCGTCGGTACCGGGTCGCGTTGTTACCCGGGGACTCCAATCGGCGTCGTTCCTCGCGAGAGATGACCGGTTCAGTGCGAAGACAATCATCGGAGGCCTTTGGGAGTGGACGCAGCGACGAATGACAGGGCGTGAGACCTCGCGGATAGAACCGCGGAACACCCGGCTCGCTATGCGTCCGGCTAAAGTCTGGGGCGCGGGGGCCGCTGAACCGGTCCAGCCGTCCTCAAATTGGAGGCAAATTGCTCATTGGCGCGGCTTCTGTGGAGGAGCCGCCATTTTGGTGGCCTCCTTCTGTCCAAAAATTCCATTCGTCCGGATCACCGCCTCTTGTATCGAACGTCCTCCGGCGTCGTGGTTCCCGGTCCACTCGACCGGATGGAGAGTCCTATCCTCGCTGCCGGAACCGGGCCGGTCCTAATGTTCGACCTCACCCAGCGCTACGCCCCCAAACGCACGCCCCGAGGTAAGGACTAAATTTGCTGACCTGGAAGTCCTGCGACTCTGAAACTGGGACACGTTCCTAAACCATTTGGTCACATGGAGGGAGTCGCAGCGTCGACGATGCCCCGCGGACCGGCTCCTTGCCCCGGTCAATAGCGGCAAGAAAATGTCCCGGACGACGAAGTCCGGGGCCGGGGCCAATACGACAAGGCGGAGGGAATCCGGCGGGGTTCCATTAGCGGACAGGGGGCGGTTCTTGAAACGAGGGCTCCGGTGGCGGGCGGAGGGCGGGACGGTGTTTTGTCAGCAGCGGAGTTTGGCTCGAGGAATTTCCTGGCCCCGGCGCGTAAGTTCGCCGCTATTGCAGCGGGCGATGTCTTCCTTTAAGCGCGTGAGCTCGACCTTTTTCGCGAGCACGCAAGCCCCTGTGATCTTCGTGCCTCGGGTTCTGTCCCGTGTACTGTGTGGTGTTTTGAATTGAATTGAATCTGTGTCGTGCGTGCGGGTTTATTGTGGGCTTGCTCGAAGGCGTCGCTTTGAGCGTGCGGTTGATTGAGTCTGTGTTTCAGACGCTGCACTGTGGGAACCGCATCCGCGGTCTAGACCGACATACCGCTGCCCAACAAAAATACGAAGCAAATCGTCGCCGCTGTGTCTTTTTCCGCTTTCTTTCTTTCCTTCGCCCGATCGGGTTCGAGTGATTCTGCGTGTTTCTGTTTCTGGTTGTTCGTCGAAAATCCCTCTCCTGTGAATACTTCGTTCACTTTCACTCTGTGTCCAAGACGACTCGACTCATCGGCGCTCTGTCCACCGATTTTTGGGCTTTGTTTGGATTTCGTGCTCTGTTTTATTTTGGGAATTTGTGTGTCGGTGGTATCGTTGGCCCGGCTCGGAAGGTCGCGGAGGCGGCCGGGCTGTGATCGGAGCCATTCTTTCTTTGTTTGATCAAACCATAGAAAATCGCCGACCCCTCTGCACGCGTAGCGCTGGAGAAGGATGGACGAAATGCGCAGATAGTTATGTGCGAGCAAGGCCGGCAAGGAGCGAAGGTAGTTAGTGTCTGAGGACAGACAGATAACGCTCAGTGTAGCAGCACGAGGGGCGTAGAAGAATTGGCACGAGCAGGTGCGTTCGGTCTGAGGTACTGCAGATTCTTGGCAGGAGGTTCCGGAGGAGGATCAGGAGGCAAGAATCCGCATTAGAGCAGAGTTCATAGGTTGCTGGAAGGAAATCCTTCAGCTCGCGAGCATCGGGCAGCGTTTTTGCTTCCCATTCAGTGGGTGAAATCATCGTGAAACTACATGGTGTCTACTTGCTTGGTTGAGGACAGCCAAGTCTTGGGAGGTCGCTCACCCCGGAGCGCTGGAACAGCATGAGAAGTGGACGCTGACTTCAGTCATCCACATCCGGAGCGAGAGGACTAGAGTGTTGGTTTGGATTTCCGAATACAAGACATACCCTTATGGTCTCGCGCCACGAGACCGCTGTAGGACTTCACAGCAGTTTGGTCTTGTGACATTCGAGGCCAGTCGAATTGCTGGGCTCGCTGTCTTGCATCTTGAATCACAGCAGCGCGGGTCGCCTCGATCGCCCATCGTGGGCAGAACACTCGATTGAGGCTCCGGGGCAAGCGAAGCTCGATTTGTGCAGGTGCGTTGGCGGGGTTCTGCACTGGAGACCCAACACTCGCCGCATGTGGGTGAGAGGAAGGTTCTGGGAATGTGGCGAAGCAGGACCGAGAGGGAACGAAACAGGGGGGAAGCGCTTGGCTTGGCCGGTGCATTGGTGTTGTTGCTCTGCACCACGGAGATAGTGATCTGCAATGGCCGTGCTCTTCATGTCATGTCCTCATCGCGGCGGCTGCTGCAGGACAATAGTACATCTTCGTCTGATGGAAATGGTAACGGAAACGGAAATGTCAATTTACGACAATACTGGTGGATCTTCTTGGTCGTGCCGGCATTCTTTGTCTCGCTGTTGTTCCTCATGACCGTGTGCTTCAAATTTCATCTCGAAAAGAGGCGACGACTGATCGGAAAGAAGGAGATAATCTACACCAAGAGCCCATGGAAGGTTGGAATGACCCGGACCATGCGCAAGCGTCTGAAGAAGGTCATTATCACGGAACTTCCTATCAACACTCGGGAGGAGTTGGAGCACGAGTGCGAGGAATTTAGCAACATAATCAGCTCGTCTTCAGACAGCGTCGTCTTTAAAGGAACTCGAGACAGCGGAGCCCAGATTGCTGTGGCACGCGTCCGAATTCCGCCCTCACGGTGGAGCTGCAATAGCGAGTTGCACTTCCTCCGGAAGGTGAAGGACCTTGCCCGCATGAAACATGCCAATATCGTCAATTTACTCGCCTATTGTTCCGAAGATGAACCATTCGAGCGTATGCTTGTGTATGAATATACTCCAAACGGAAGTGTCTATGATCATCTCCATAGCTCAGGCTCGCCGGCCGACTTTCTGGACTGGTCTACCCGCATGAAAATTCTCATGGGGGCGGCCTACGGATTGAAGTACATGCACACGGACCTCGACCCACCGGCCACTCACATGAAATTCGATGCAAGCTCAGTGTTTCTGACCGAATGCTACAGCGCGAAGGTCGCCTCATACGGCATGGATAAGCTGTGCGTGGGCAGCAACTCACTCGGCCGGAGACAATCTTTTGGTAGAATCGTCAAGTCGGTCGGGTACGAGGATTGGGATAGGTACCGGCATGTACCCAAGCAGGAGAGCAATGTGTTGAGTTTTGGAATGTTTATGCTGGAGATGATTAGTGGAAGGTGCCCTTATGATCCCACTGAGGGATCGATTCTTTTGTGGGCTGCGGAATACATGGAGTCCAACGAGAAACTATGGCAGCTAGTCGATACTTCGCTGGCTTCTCACAACGCCGAGGAGCTGGTGGCCCTAGTAGAGATTGTCAAACAGTGCACGAACCCGAAGCCTTTGAAGAGACCGACCATGGCCAAGGTGACGGAGATGTTGGCGGCCGCACTGAAGATCTCACAGGAAGATGCATCGCTGGGAAGTAGCGGCAAGATTGACTACAAGAGCTCGCCTCTGATGTGGGCCAAGCTCGAGCTCCTGAATGCCGAGGGAGGAACAAACACCACCGAGGAAGAGGAAGACCATCACTCGGAAGGCTTGACCTCGTCCACTCTACCTCTTCTCGCGCCCGGACCTTCATCTCCCAAGTCCGGGCTCCGATCACCGAAATCCTCGTCGCCCAAAGGATGCAGCACCAGTGGCAGCGAATTCTCAGACTCGCGTCCGTCGGACGAGGTTGCCATTACCATCACCTCGTCTCAAGTCAAACAATTTCATCAATCGGATTCGAAATCTTTCGAGCGATGAGTGAAGTCCACGTGCGTGGATCAACTGTACAGTATAAGTCCACCTGCCGGCACCCTCAACTCTCGAGTAGGATGAGGTGTGGCAGGGTTTTGTGAAAGTAGAGAGATGAGGTAGTAGAGCAAACCTGATCATGAAAGCATAGGATTAGGAATCACGGCAGAATGCGAGGCCCTCAGATGCGCTTGGGCGTTGCTAGGAGGGACTGGCATCTCGATTCATTCTTTCAATTCAGACAGGTGGCATCGAGGCAACACCGTGGAATGGAATTTGAGCACTTCCAAGACCGGTCGATACCGGTCGGTTTTAGCGCCAATGTGTGTATCATATATTCTGTGTATGTTTGAGTGTCATTATTGTCTTTTGCACATACGAATAAAAATGACTATCAGAAGGAATGACGTTGACGACGACCCATCATGTCAACCATGAATGTTCGTTTCATCGGTTGGGAGAGAACCTTCACAGTTCATAGATCACAGATCATTCTGGGGCAGGGAGTTTTTACCCATCGAGCGCAGACTGTTACCATGCATCGGTGGAGATAGTCTCGCGCCTTTCTACCTCTTCCTCACTGTACCTTGCTCCTTGCGTGGCCCGACGCCTGCCTGCCTGCCTGCCTGGATGGGTATCGGCCCGGACCTTCGAACAGTGGGAGGCTGTTCTGCCGCTGGTCATAGAGGCATCATGGCCCAGATAAAGGATTTATCTTATCGGATTGTCGTGTCTCATTCTGCCCATATTCAACGGGCGCCATCGAAAGGTGATGATTCTGATGACTGGTAGGCGGCAGGAGTGCGCTCTCCATGATTCATATCAGAAGGTTCAAAAGGCGCAGGCAAGTGAATGAGAGAAAGCGTTTAAAGGTGATCAATCCGCTCGAACAGACTCCGTTCCTCATGTTTATTACTGCGAGGAGAAACAGCTGGATTTCGCTTCAATGCCGAGATCCCACGAGATGTGACCAATGTGCTCCGTTGAATATGTCATCAATAGACGCGAGCATACGAATCTCACGTGGACAGTCCAGTCCAGACCAGTGTACAGTTCCGGGCACCAGTTTGTCCTGTTGGCTCAAGACCCGCTGTTCTTGCCACCTCAGGGTTTTGAACAGAGGGATGTGTAGAGTACACTGTCCACCTGGCACAGGACAAAACGGAATTCCACTCAACTCGATGTCACCAAAGCTTAGCACAAGTCTCGTAAATTCTCGTATTTGTCTTGTGGGAGCCACGCATGCGCTGAGATCATTGAGTATAGTACTACAACCTCCAACCATGAAATGTTACGCTAGCCTCTGGCCAATCCTGTTTTTTATGTCCGTGTGCCCCCCACATCGCTTGCGTACTGATATCGATAAACCCCATCGATCGGATGAACAGATTGAGAGACCAGCTGATCTGTACATCAAACAAACGGATCCCAACATCCGATCCTAGTTAGCGTTGTTGCATGTTGGATGTACCCTGATGACAAACGGAGGCCGACTATGCTGACATGGATTGCGCTGGGATGATATGGCACTGGATCCGATCACAAGGAAAAGCTTGGACGAGCAAGTGAAGATTAGAGGTTAAAGGAGGGACCACCGAGTCACTGAGTCTATCCGTATGCACCAGAAAGTGATACACGGTACACTTCAAGGCAACATCGACAACAGCTTCGTAGACACCATCCGACGTATGTTTAAGTATTGGGTAGGTCCTACACTTATTGTACATTGATGCTCTTGAATTAAAGTATAAAAAAAGAAGATGGGGAAGTCACACATGTACGCTAGGATAAAGCAAAACTCTTTGTTCATATTCACTAGAACATTTACTCATGTGATTTGCTATTACCACATCATTCTCATTCACAACTATTTGTATCCAACAAATTACAACCCAATACTAAACCTGTAGAATTTTCAGGCTTCACACTTCTGTACATAGTATTGCCAGGAAACCACATGAGCAAATTATTGTAAATAGTGCATATATATATACATATATCTTTTGCATATTCTTGTGCAATCACTTAGAGGTGTGTATATGCTTGCACATACATGCATATGTATGTATGTATGAAATATTTATTATTCGCCTTGGGATACTTAAAATGAAATCGGAGAAGGATTGAAGATGACATGCGATCTGGATTTCACTAAGACCTAACGAGTTTAAGATGCAAATCCATATTTTGAATAGCTCTGCCTCCTGACATTGTACTCAATCCATAGGTTGATATACATTATGAGAGTGGCAATACCCAGAACCACCGATTATGATGGAATATCATGAAGTTATCATCTCTCATTTCCCTTTCAGTCAGCCACGAAACTCAGCCATATATTTTCCTGAAGATGTTCCGTTTTATGTTGCAGAGATAAGACGATACCAACTCTATTATTATACCAACTCTGTACATTACATCTGGCAAACTCTTGGCTACTATCGGTAGATTGCACCTGATTAGTATTGAGGGGAAGAGCGACTGTGGATCCTGTATTTTCAATGATGTATGGGGCCAGACTTTATTTTGCTTCTGGGGACAATACAATGATATGAATGCTTGTTTGTGGCTAGACTTTATTTGACCCTAAGTGGACATTATAGTGGAATGAGTGCTCGTTTGAATATGCGAAACACTTGTTACAGAACCATAGGAACTGACATATAATATCATGTTCACAGAATAATCATATGAAAATCCATCTCCATGCATCATCATGACGATTTTCGGGTCAACACATCATCATGTTGGAAAGCACCATTGAACGAACATACACTATGGACTAAAAGGTACTTCAGTCTCAGAAATGAAAGTTCTGACACAACTCGTAATATTCGTTTAGAAATGTAAGGTTCGACACTTTTGAGTAGGTTCTCGAGTTTCTGAAAGTTTGTTGCTACTTTCCACATGGAGATGTAATGGATGAAGTATCCCAACTACGTCTACACCTGTCTTCCATCGAGTTTGTCATTTCAGACATGCATAAATATGATCGAGGAGAAACTCCAAAAGGACTAAAAGTACTCAGCAATAAACCCTCCACCCTTTCAGACTTAACAGTGCACCCTGGAGTGCAGGGACCTTCAGAGAACCACTATCGTTAAATATCACCGATCGAGACTCTTGGTTTGACTTTGTGTGCCCACGGTTTGGGCTTTGCGGTTCTTTATGAACATTCTCCTCCGTGTTTGATGTGCATAGTTTACTTGAGATCGCTCATCTCTTGCATTCACATTCTGGCATAAATGAGAAGTCTTGTGTAACAATTCTAAATTATTCTTAGAATGGGAATTAACTAGCGCGTTTCAGGATGGCATGATAGAGTTTTATGATGCGACCTGAAACTTATTATGGAGGGGGCGTATAATATTCATGGTCAACAATCTACCCAGTTATGGTCACACTCGTTATGATTCCATGGTGAAAACCTGACACTTCTATGTTTCTGATAGTTTGTCTTCCACAGAGCTTTTTCGTCCTTATTTTCTGGTGCAATAGAAGAGATGACTACGAAGTCCAAGTTCTGGATAGCAGACACCAGCTGTAGTAAAATTGGTATAAATCAGAACCGTTTACGAATTATTGCGAATGTATGCATTTTATTGCTTTTCACAAAAAGTAGTTCATCAATCTAGTCTGAAACGCTCTAAGATGTACAGCAAGCTCTAAATTTACTCACATACTTTTAATACGAATACTGTAGACAGCTGGGCATATCCAGCATTGGCATATCAGCCAAAGCTCTCTGACCTTGGCTCGTCCGGGGTCGTTGGCCACTGGGACGAACTTCTGAAGACCCCTTCCGGGTGTCCGTTCCTCTATCTCTGTAATAATGTATTCCAAGGGTGTGCTTCTTTCCGGAGAAAAGGCATCAAATCATTCATCTGGTCTTCCCAGGCACGTGAAGAGCCGTCGGGACGTTCCTCAGAAGAAACATCAAAATAACTTTACTTGTTCCTATAGCCATTAAATGTAGACATTAGCTGAAGTATGGGTCTTCGAGGCAAATTAGCAGGCACGGGTTTTGCCGGAATTCTTTTCCATACCCGCTGGGGCAAAAAGTCTAGAATCCTTGAGCAATTATTCCCGTCGTAGATCGCTGTTCCTGGGCTATTGGTGATATTAGAATAATTAAAAGATACAGAATATTAACTGTAATGCATTTGACATAACATGCTGAAACCTCCGACTAATTTGATAATAATCACTACTCTTCCTGCCAAAATCATCTTCTATGACTTAAGGCCTGATTGCACCTAGCCCTGAAGATTGTAGCATGTGGGCATGTGAAAATACTCTGAAGTTCTGGACTGAGGCTTACTTTCGCGCTCTCTTCAACCTAAACACATTAGTCAACCATAATCGATAAAGTATATAAATATATAAGGGCTCAGCTGTATACCACTTACTCCGGTAAGAATTTTAGTGTGCTGTACACACACTATTACGAAAAAGTGTGTTGCCGAAATGATCTTCACATTAAGAGTCAAGGATGACATGAATGTTGTTTATGAATATATTTTTTAAACCTTCTTCCGTGGTGCTTCAACTGAATACAACGAGGAGAAGTGCATTAAAGTAAAGTCTTGACCTTGAAGAACTTTTTTTGGCGATAAAATATCTAATTCACGTGTATTAAAATAATATATTGGCTTCAAAGCAATAAGCCTGAAATCAGTGAGGATTTGAAGTCTGGAGTTTGAAATGCGCGATGTTTAAAGGCAATGTAAACACTATACTAAGAGTACTGTAGTGTACACGATGAATAAATTTAGAGTGGAAAGAGTCCATCAAACAACCCAAAGAATGAATGAAGAGCTATGGGCTGGACCCGATATCTTTCTACTGGATGAAACCAAGATGGGGCTATAAAAAGTTCTTTAAGATCGTACTATAACTATATTATACATGATGTAGTTTAAAATTATGGGCTAGTTATTTGTTTGCGGTATCCGATTCACCTCGAGTAAACATCAACTTATCATGGTGGAAATAGGGGAACAAGATACAATTTATTTTACGGAAAGACCCTCTCAAACATCACAAGGAATGAATGAATGAAGAGTCATAGGTTGGTCCCCATTATTTTGTCATTGTGGCGAACTTAATTAACGAACACACAACTATTCTATCACGTTACATCAACTAATAGTATCTGTCCGAAAAAACACTATAATATGATGTTTTTTTCAGAAACTCTTATGTTTCTGATGTATACAGAATGCAAATTGGAGACTTGACAATACAAATTAGACACATGAGGTTGAATATTCCACGGTCGCGATACTGGGTAGCCCCATGTGACCCATTCCTACCCATCGTATCTGTACATTGACCTGGGGTTTAAATCAAACCTCAAAAGTACCACGGGTTAGTTTAAGAGAACAGTATTTGTACCTGAAAGTAAGCAAAGAGGCCGTTGACCAATCAAGAGTACGCCCACTGCAGTCACTCGGATTCTTGTCTCCTCTCCTCTCCGTTCGGATCCGAGGTGGCAGAGGACAGGAAGAGATACTCGAGTCGGCCCAGTGTCCACGGTACGCTCCTGCCGTGTGGGCGCACGCTCCCTCCCTTCCCTCCTCCTACGTGGATCCCCAGTTCCCGCATCTGACAAGGCCACGTCGTCTCTCGAGCTGACTGGACTGCCTGAGTGGGGAAACAGCTGAGCTGACTCAGACGGAAACAGGGAAGTAATACAAGAAACAGGATGCGAAGAGCCCGCAGGGCTTTCGGCCCAGTACCATCACAACGGATAACGAATCCTGCTGCATCTAACCTTTCTGTGACCATGAGCCGGGTCTATCACTCTCTCATTCTCATGTCCAAGTTTATGAGAGACCGACCTATCGTCACAAGTTTACATATTTAAAATCTGTAACATAACAAATTAATTAAATTTGAATATAATCTTATACTCAGATACTCTGGCTTTTTCTTTCATTAATATCCGATCACGACTGGATTTTACAATCCAAAACGGAATAATTGGTAAAACATAGAACCACAAATCGAGTATAGATCTGTATAGTTGACTTCATCTCTCACGCCATTCTCTTGACATACCATACACCACAATTTTGATACGATGAGTAAAATTATATTTTTACCTCGGAATCGTAGACGAGTCGTGTGGATCCAGTTGACATCTGATGTAGGATTTCACTCATTTGCAAAGAATAAAGATTCACACGCTATATCGAATGAAGACATTAACGTGATCGTTATAGCATAGATATTTCGTGAGACACTAAAGGCCTTATCCAAGCCCAAGAGCTTGTATTGCACTTGAATGAGAAAAAATAGTCACTGGACAAACTTACACAGACCTACTCTTGATCATCGAAAGGCCACAATAGGGTTGTGCTTGGCGTAAGCGAACTCTTATAAGGGTATGAAATCATAAGAGTTGAACCTCTCTTGGAGAACCGTCTATTAGAAGAAGTATGCAGAAAAGCTTGAGCACACCCAACTTCGGGATTTACGTTAAATTAATAGAGTGCCAGGGACTTGCCAGAAAATGAACATGCTTTCAAGCTGCAGAATCAATATTTGTTCATGGATTTCTTAGGTTCTTACAAAAGAATCCCACTTCCTCTATTCCTCGTTTTCTAATACATTTCATGACTAGAGAAAACTTCCGAGGTCTCCTCAAGAAGAGTGCACTTTTAAAAGAAACAAACTACTCCGAGAGTTCCAACATGAGTTTTCCCAGTACCGCCGCTTGCAGCTACATTGCTTTACAATTAGAAAGTAGGGTTGCTTGTGGAAGAATCATGGAAAAATCCACTGAATTAGCAAATAGAGGAAATATAAAAGGAATTGAAATAGAAATATCAGGTAGACTTGATGGAGCTGAAACTGCTCGTAGTGAACGGGCACTTGAACGTAGAGTTCCTTTACAAAACATAAGAGCACGCAGCTCAAACAGTTTACGGAATAATAGAAATCAAAATTTGGATATTTGAAGATGAAGAATAACTATTTTCCATTAAATCATATTAATTATGAAGTGAACACCCCCAAAAAAATGCCATGCGTAGTGTGTGACTAGTGTATATAGGAAAAAAAAACCCAAGAATGAGTGCCACTGGAACCATCACATGCATATTCTTTCAATTCAACAACGAGGCTAGAACCTTGCCACATCAATAGCTGTATGTAATGTATAGCGTGAAAGTGAACATGCTCAGACTTTCTGATGAATGAAAGTCGATAGCCGGCGCTCTGGGCCAATAAGCGGGGCCGGTGTAAATGCCGCTCTGTCACCGTCAACGTAAATGCTCCACTTGCGAGGAGGAGGAGACGGGGAAGGCAGACAAAGGAAGGACTCGATCGCGCTTCACGCGCAGAGCGCGACGACCAGGAACAGGTCAACGCGAGCCAGCTGCGGCCACGAAGCCCAGGACCTGGCTCTGTCCAAGACGTTTACGACGATCATCATCGCAAGCAAGGCTGCTGGAGGGCACGGAGGGGACTCGTCGGTGGTCGTCGGCCCGGCGACCGGTCGCGGACCTCTTCTTCTTCCACGACGCCTCGTCGCGTGGAACCGGCAATCGGCAGCGTCGCCGGTTTTTCGGTCGGTGTCGACGTCGCGTGCGCTCTGAATCCACCGTGTCTAGCGCCAGGGTCCAGGCACCGATCTCAGGCAAGCGAGGGATCCAGATCGAGATCGATCGAGAGAGAGAGAGAGAAGGAGAGAGAGGCAGAGCAGGGACTGAGCGCCACCCCCTGAGGAAATAGGAGGCAGCATATATGCTGGACCTGTGGGGAGATCTAGTGCGGAAGATCGAAGCGATAATTACAGAGCTGATAATTACGGTGTGGTAGAATTCCGTGCACCCCGGCCTAGATCCGGCAGTTCACGACCGTGGACGAGATAGCATTGAGATCGAAGATCACGCAGGTTGGGCACACGAGGGCTGGACTCATCTCTCTTGCCTGGGCCTCTTGCCGAGCTAAGCTGAGCTGAGCTGATCAACTGAACTGAACTGAACGGAGGAAAGGGGAGGGGAGGGCAGGGCAGGATAAAGTATATTCCGCAGGCAGAGGTCACTTGTAGGCCGGCTTGCGGCCATTGCATTTGTAGGGGCCGCCGTTATTCTTCGAAATCGACATCATTCGAGGCTGCAGAGCTTTAAGGCGATCGGACCTGGAGCTTGTCCGGGCGAGAGGGCATGAGGAATAGTCACTGAAGGAGCTTGAAAATGGGGTTCAGCTTGCCATCGCACATAGACTCGGGCTTGATCTTCGGGCTGCTGGGCCTCTGGCACATCGTGAACACGCTTCATTTGTATATTGTGAAACCGAAGGCTTTCAGGTCCAGGGCGTGGTTTCCTGCTCCGGAAGGGTTTCCGAGCGCGTTGAGATGCGGGGAGCTATGGATTCTTCTGGCTATAGTTCTGTACTTCATCACCATCCAGCTCTCACATGCATTGCAAGACATTGGCGACGGAGTAATTCAAGCCCGGCATTTGATGAGGTTCCAGCACGCTGCCTTCAGCATGTTCTACCTCGTGTACATCGTTGTCGCTCTCATCCATGAAAACACCACATTGCTACCTCTTCCCCATGGAGCTCTGCAGGCAACCTTCGGCCTTGGATTTCTCATGGAGCTCGTGATCTTCCACTACGGACATCATCCCGGACAGGATCTGGAGAGTCATGTGCACTTACTAATGCAGTTGATTCTGGCGACTTTGGTCTTGCTGATGCTTTTGGAGATCCAGTTCCCCCACAGTCCAATTGTTGCCATTGGACGGGCCATGTGCCTCACCTTCAAAGGTACCTGGTTCTTCCACATTGGACTCGTTATCAACTACCCGTTTGCCGTGCCTATCGGATGCTCGATGACACCTGGTCATGATTTCCCCCAGTGTCCTTCGCCCATGGACGAGATGAGGGCCAAGGCGCTCCAGGTCTTGGTGTTCTGTAGTCAAGCTGTTGGAATTGTAATTTTTACTTTCACCGCTTACGCGAGTATCCGATTTGTGGTGAGATCTTCACTGGATGCCACGGCATTAGAGCAGATGGACAAGGAACAACGAGGAGATTACGTGCTCGTGGATAATGGGCAGAAGGAGTTTGATTTACAAGTGGATGCTGCTGGAGTCCCACTGTTGAAAACGATGCCGAGATCCATATCCAGACGAAGCATGAGCAGCAAGGCTTCCGTCTTACAACCTCTGCCTGAACTGGTCACCACTCCTGTCACAAAGATGGCCAACAGTCCTATGCACAAGAATATCAAAAACGTTTGAAGAGTTTCGTATTTTTTTTCTTCGGCTGATGTTGGATGTACAAAATTGAATCCTGTGGCCATATTCGTTTTTGAACGGCAAACATGTTAGGATGAGTTCATCGCTTTCATGCGGTGAAGAGAGGTCACGGCACCAGGACAGCATTGAGGATTATTATTTTTTTTAATTATTTCGTACATGCTCATATCGATCCATTGATGAGTAACTCTGAAGTCCTTATAACCTCCCTGAAGCTTATCAGCCGGAAATGGTCAGATCTGCTGTATAAGGCTCCATTCAAATTGTGGTAGCAGATTCAGAAGGTTCGAGGAATTTCTAAAAATGGTGGGTATATGCTTGTAAAGCAGACCTAGAGACATTTGCAAAGTTGTGTACATACTTGATACTTGAACTCAGAGTTGAGTGCAGGAAGCTGGTTACTATCTTCAGAAATGTATACGCTGGGATTATGACCTCAAAATCTTATCTTCGAACATCATGTCTGCAACCAGGACTGTCTGGAAAAATCCTCTTTTTATCGTTGAGTGGACTAACTTGTAGGCACTCACAAAATTGCAGACCACACTCGTGCATTTTAACATGGTGTTAGATGATAATGAGCTGCGTTCATTATGATTTGATGAGTCCGATTTTAGCGTCCTCTCTGGATGTTGACACCAGACGCCTACTGTTTCATAGTCTTCTACTGTATTATGTACAATCACCAATCTGAAGTAGAAACTGCTCGAATGCAAATTTATTTGTCTTCAAACATAGACAAGAGGTAAACAGATTCTGGTTCAACTCGCTATGTCTTGTCTTATGATGGTATGCAGTTCAGTTTCGGTTGTACTTCGTGCCACTTCGCTCAAGGTCTTCGAAATCAGAGTATACAGGGTGTACAAATAACCATGTCTGGGTGTCGTTCAACTCCTGATTGCCATTGGGTCCATTGATATTCCCTCTACTGAAAAGTAACACGGCAACTATGGATACGAAGTCGTCGTCTCGCCTGGCTTTCAGTCTACAGTCAAAGCATGCAAGGCTTTTGAACGCCACTGCGTTCAAATAAAATTCTGGACTCCAGAGAAATAATCCAGGCGAGAGGGACAAGTCAGGTGCGTCTGTCTCTAAAGGAAACGTGGTGGATCCCAAAGGTAGTAGTACGAAAACCGTTTCTACAGAACTGACTAATTTGATAGTCTTTCCTGATATAGTGAGTCTTGAGATTCCTATGAGCCTACATATTCATTATCTTTCATCCGATGAAATCCTTATCGAATTTACCTAGTCTACGGATGTGGAAGCGAAGGACTAAGCATGAGCAATACTCACAAAAGTGAACTGCAACTCAAATACATTACGAAGATAGTGAGAGACAAAGTACATAAACCGCCTCTCTTACTGGAACGTCGCAAGCCTGAACATCTACATACGAACGTTGCACACAGTAGCTGACAAACGATCTGTGCTGTGTGTGGATCATCAGCCCATGGTCTTGTAGAAAGCAAAGTCGGTAAATTCACACGTCGACGATCGAAAGCTTGACGAAAAGCTCGAGGGCATGAAGTAGTTCTGCTTTCAAGTTTTTCTTTATTCTTCCAAGACATTCTGCGCATTCAACTGAATTCGAAAGGTGGATATTCTCCTCCTAACCTTAGCCGCAACTACTCGAGTTATTGAGCTGAATCTCTGTGTAGTAGCACTGCTTCAGCACAGGCACAAGTACACTGTGTGTCCATTAAATGTGACCAATACTTGCGGAAAATGTACTAGACTGCCGATGCACACCCAATCCGAGTTCCAGGAGATCTAGCACCGCCACTGCCTATTCAGTATACATACTTTATACGAAGGAGAGCGCTCATTCTTGAGCCTGACTGACTTGCTGCATTTCTCTTCCACAGAGGACTAGGATTATTAAAACTCATCAAGATTACGTGTAATTATTGCTGAGCCGTATACTTCCGCGGAGAAAACGAGCTTGAAAACACGACAGAACTGTTGCTCGAGCTCCACACTGGAAAAGCTGCATGCAACGTAATGAAGACAAGGTTCAAGCTATAGGGTCGGAAAGATCAGAATTCGAATGTTCAGTCGAATGGTCTGCAAGAATGAGACAGTCCGTTGAGCTGAATCTGAGCTGAGCCATACCTGAGCTGAGCATTCAGCTGCCAGGAGCTGCAATGAAATCAAGAGCTGTAACCACAGATTCCGTTTTCGCAAGCATCGTCGCAGACCACACCACACCGACCGCAATTCAGCTCATCGATCAGCAGATTCACACATCGCCCGCTGCAGCAGGACTGCCTGTATCCGCACAGATTGCCACAGCCTCCGCAGTGGTTGGCGCTGGTCCTAATGTTGAAGCACCTGCCGAAGCAGCAGTCAGGTCCATCTGGTGTCAATTTGGGGTCGAGGCAGGCCGAAGCGTTGCGGCTGCAATCAGGAAATCTGCCTCTGTCTGTTCCCGTCTGAAGAAGAGTTCTGACTCTAAAGTCTGATCCGGACCCGAGTCCGGATCTCACGCTTCCGGATTCAGAAGCTCCTGCTGTACCTACATTCACGAGCACTGCTGCAGCCAGGACGAGAAGCAAGGAAGCGTCAACTACTCTGAGCCCCATGATAAGAAAATGGTTTTGATACGGTCCGAGACTGTCACTCGCTCTGTCACTCACTCCTCCAGCGGATCAGACTGTGAGCTGAGCGCAGTGCTGATGCTGGGTTGCTGTCTTATCTCTGGACCGGATGTAATTCCACAAGCTCCGAACTAAGCTTATAAAGCTCTCATGCTTCTAGCCAGGCCACCAAAAGTACCGTCAGTACTGTCAGAATAAAGCATCAAAGTGGTAAAAGAGATTCACTGTGGATGAATCGAGGACGGTTTTGAGATTCGTGATGTCTGATCTCATGTGCAAAGAAACAGCGGATCAACCGAAGGGCTTCAAGAGTAGAACGTCGTGACCTCGTTGCTGCGGATCACGTGACTTGAACACTTGTTAAACTCTCTCTCTCTCTCTGGACTCGATCGACTGAGAGAGATGGACCCAGTCGCTTGGTAATCTGGTCCAGAACTTGTCTCGTCGGCCGCCCAATCGACCGAGTCAATGCCAACGTGGGCACGCCCAACCGATTGAACGAATTCGCAAGACAATCGAAGTCTCATGAACTCTGATATTGACTTTGTTCGCTTTTTCCTGAATGAGTTACTTGAAGGATCCACAGCGCATCGTCCAATACGTCTAAAGTTCGGAGCACATTTCATCTGGCTCGACATCGACTGAGGCTTTGTCGCATTAATTCCGGCCACAGACCAGATGGAATCTGTATGCGAACTCCCCTACGTCACACGATCCGTACAGCACATTCTCCCTCGCTCGCTCCATGTCCCGGATGGTCCAGTTGGTTCCCGATAAAGGTCATCAGGCTCAAAATATATCGGATTCCTCGAAACGAGTACATACGCAAGTGAAGGTCAGTCCCTTCAAGACGAAGAGCAGCGACTTTAATCTATCATTCACGTCCATGTTCTCAGTGAGTGCAGCCTGAAAAACCTTCGAGCTCTGCTACTCTTGGCTACTGGCTACTGATTTCGCTGTTCCCCAGAAATCAATAGTTTGGTTCTTCATGGTACTTGTACACGGACATCGGAAATACAATTATTGGTCATGGTTTCGACTTATCCCGCACACTGCAATCCTCCTGCACGTCATGAATATTTGGCTATTGGAATGGATGGGCTTTGATGTGTCGACATCTTTCTTATGCCTGAAGGCCTTGGGTTTCAGTACCGGCATAATTAAAGCTTGAAAGCAATATTCGCATAACACAGATGCAAAGTACAAGTTGAAGATTCCTGATCAAGGAACTGAGGACCCTCGCATACACACAGCAGTAGTCCAGTCGTGGAAAAATATGCTTCATGGCTTGAGTTCTCATGTGAGGCGTCACAGGTGCGTGTGATTTTTTAAAGTCGAGAAGCGTATGAGATTTTAATGCACAATGCTTTCTCGGAAGAACCAGAAGCGAAATGCAAGCATGCCAAGTGTACGCCACTGCACGGCTGGTACGAGGAGACAACAAAAGAGCATCTTGACCCAGAAGTCGTCCCTCCTCTTGGCTGCGTAATTAGTGGCCCTGGCAGACAGACGGTCGTGCATGTAATGGACGGCCGATCGCAGGAAACCTCATATCGGAAGCCATTGAAACAATTAAAGCATTCTTCTTGCTAAACGTGTGTATTATTGACGCTGCAAGATGAAAGATGAAAGATGAAAGCTGAAAGCTGAAAGGTTCAGTGCGTTTGGCCACCGTGACAGCAGTTCAAGATTCCGCTACAGGGATCCAGTCCCCCCGAAAGATTCATGCTCATATAAAATCTAGATCTGAACTGCTTAAAGGTTGTGATATCGTACCTACAAATGTCCTGTAAGATGGATCGTGTGGAAGGAAGGATGATGATTGCTCACTGTCTGGCTCATGATGATAGTCAGCCAAGATCATGAGCCAGAAAGGAGTGATCGAAATTGAATCTCTAAACATATATGATAGTTCGAGTTCGTGCATGCACTGAACCTGCTGAGGTCTAGAATCAGCAGTCAAGGCAAATCTTGACTGATCGACTCCAACTTTTGATCAGACTCGTTTGCCAAGATGGGCATATAAAGTAAGCCTGGACATATGATTTGTGCATTCGCGCTCGGTTGACATAAAACGTGGTCCAATGACATTTTTAGAAACAGAACATAACCCTGCTCGCTCGCTTTGTGTCTCAAAAGAAACGTGCGTCCTCTGTGATACTCAAATTCGAGTCTCAGGAGAGTTCATGGAATTTGCGAAACCTGTCCTCTCGGTGGTCATCTGTATCGCTCACGCATCGGAGTATGGTTGGTATGGATGGTACGGATTTTCGTGATGAGTTGCTACTGCAGGCTGTCACAGCTCCTCCTACCTGAGGTTGATATGTATGACCTGACACACTCCTCAAACAAGCTGCTTGCGGTTCTCTCATCGATAATAAGATGACTGCGAGTTGTACCGAGAGATCGGAAGAGCAGAACCACGATCAATACATGCTTCGTAGATAGTTCACGTCAGGGTGATGTGATTGTCATTCCACTATCAGTAGTCGTCAACTCTCCACATCATCCGAGTACGAATTTACAGCGTCATCGGAGGACCACTTCTCTGAAAGGCCCTTGACACGATTGCTTTGCAGTATTGTAAAGCGTTCATCAGATGCAATTCTCGATGGAAATGACATGAATCAGCTTCGGACTCATGCATCAAGCGCATGAGCTCAGGCTGAGAAGATTCCATGTCACGTGGTTCGAGGTGATACCAAAGATGGTCTGTTCTGAAATGGAAGAAACTTACAGAAGCACCAGTTGCGGGTTTGTCATTTCGCGTCGATGTCAATTTGGCTGATCTCTGGCGCAGGGGACACAGGGCAGCTGGAATCTCGGAAACTTTCCTTTAAATTATTTTCCGACAAACAGCTTAATCCAATCGCAGGGTTCTGATATGATGCAAATGTATCCTCCATCAGCAACTTACTCGGGCCCGCCGCTCTCGAAGGCATAGTCTCAGTCCGAATCAAAGTCGAGTGAATCTCATGAAACGTCATTCTCAAAGCTCCGAGCTTAATAGCCTTTTACTCAGAAGCTTTTCTCCAACATTGGAGAATGCACCCATACATCATTAGCGCCCCCAACCTCTTGATAAATTACACTGTGACTGCATATATGTGCCTGACTCTGTTGATTCCTGTCGTTAACGGAACATTGTCGCAAATTCTAGAAACGTTCAACAAATTTCAATTCTACATTTGACTGCAATGTTTGAAGAACAGTACAGGGCACGGAGGTCTTTGATCTTCAAAGAATCTGCTGAGACTTCTCAGCAGCATCTCTTCATTTAGGGACTGACGACGTGCGCGTGCATCTCGTACCTTCTGCATGCTACTCTTAATGATATGGGAAGAACTTGGAGCTGCCTGTGCCCAGGCCTAGAGCTGAATAAACTACGTGGGAAGCCAAAGGAGAGAACAAAAACTGGATGCTGAACCTATCACAAGGAGCAGGAGACCACGACCAGATGAATGAAAGATGAAAGATTGAATGTTGAAACTCACGATCTTGATCGGAATGATGGCTCTTTGAACTACACCGCTTGTACGTGTGTCATATACAAAGTACGAGTGGTGTAGTTCAGTAAGAATCATAGAGTACACGTGGTCAGATAGTTCTAAGCTGTAGTTCTAGATTCCAGTCACCGAACATGAAGAGCATGACTTTTACGTGGATTATCATATTTGGCCCCATGTTCGGTTCTGCATACCCAGGAAATCGAAAGTTTGTCCGCCATTCGTCCACTAACTTTCTACCTGACGAAAAGTTTGCAAAGCAACTTCGAATTTATCTTCAAAGAATTATAACTCAACATTACACGCAGCATGTTTGCCTCAAGGCCGCAAGCCCATCACCAGAGAGAAATCTAAGTGCACATAAACCTGTTCGAACAAACTAACTAACTTTGCCTGCGAAGTCCTACTTGGACACAAATGTATGATGTCCTTCGTGGGTGGATTCATTTGTAACATCGAGCCATCATACAAAGTAGGGGTCAGTCGGATATTTCAACACATCCTTCAGAACCGGAGCTTTCCTCGTAGATCTAACAACATGGAAGGTTGTTAGATCATCGTATGTCATAGGATACTCGAATTCAAGACGAATGTGATTTCTCTGAAAATCGTTCCTTTCTGGTGATGAAGTCATACCATGCTTGACATTGCCTCCGAAAACTCTGAGCTACGCTCTGAGGATGGCATTGTGTGAAGACTGGAGTTCAATTTTGAGCCACACTTAAAGAAGGAAGGATTGAAGAAAGACATGACATTGTCTGTAGAAGGTGATTCAAAACTGCTGTTGAAGAGCATCAGGCTGTGAATGATATCAGATCATCAGGAGATGGAACGAGACAGTGCCATCCATCAGGTTGTAACAAGATGTAGAGTGAGCTATGATGCCTGAAAGATGAAATGAATTCAGAAGGGTCATTGAAGCAGGTACAAAACATATACGGATGGAATGGCATGGAAAGGAATACAGCGCCATGCGTATCCAATATCAAAAAATGAAGAAACGTATTGCGAAGAGGTTGTGGAGAAGCTTCAAGCTTGAGCTAGATACCGATGAGAAAAAAATCGATGGACGTGGGGAAGAGCACAAAGGTGAACAAGTGAACGAAGTACCGCTTGAATGCTCTGTACCTATCACTTCAGTCGTACTGTAGGAATCATCATATTAATTAGTGGGGCTCGAAGCGCACCATGGAACCAGAGTTGAATCCACTAAGAAAGGTCACGATGTTGCGATTTGTCCTCGGGTACGGATTTTGTACCCGAGCTTTCGGACATGTACGATATCTCAGGTGAATACGCATGCGGATGCAGTGAGACCGAACGTTTAAATATGAGTTCCTCTTCGGCGAAAAGATCAAGCAGTTGATGAACAGCAGCAATCTCACTTGGAAGCAATCACTGCAGCCGCCTCTCGGCAAAGCTCCAGTTTGCTACTAGGATACGATCATCGCATCTCAAACACAGGACCAGCTAGTTGAACTGGTGAGAAGTGAGGAGGTGTGAAATTTTGGATACCTGCCTTCAAAGTCTCGTCGTCGAATTCCTCATTCATGTCTCGTCTGCTACTCCTCGTCGCCGTTGCAGCGTTCACAGTCATGTCGATAGCTCATGTGACAGCCTCTGAAGGCGAGGAAGCAGAGGCAAGAGGAAGTATCAGAGGCAGAACTCTCATGGCAACAGCAGACAGGGGCAGATTCCCCGAGTGCCAGAGGAACAGGACTCGATGCCTGGATCCGAATTTGAAGCCGGACGGACCGACGTGCTGCTCTAACAGGTGTGTCAACACTCGAATCGACACCAACCACTGTGGTGCATGCAGTCGCCCTTGTAGGTTCAACCAGGGCTGCTGCAACGCCAGGTGTGTGAATCTGCAGACTGATCCCCAGAATTGCGGTGCCTGTGGTGCGGATTGCGACGAAGCTTGTGAATTCGGCCTCTGCGCATACAGCGGCGTTCCTTAACTCCGTTCGACTCTTGCAGCAGCAGGTGGCCAGCAGATGCCCACGAGGTGAGTCAACGTTTGAACGTCTTGTCCTGACAGCAATGTTCCATTTGCAAAGCTTCGTAGAAATGCATAGCCTGAACTCAGTGATGCAGTTTTTATTTGATTAGCCTCGTTTCACTGGCTACTAATTTTCAGTGACAGCTTAAGTGATTAAGCATCAAAGTAGTGAGTTTTCTAATAGAAGCTGTACAGTTGCAGGAAGGAATATGTCGTATCTGAATGGAGTGCACACTTCGTACCGGGCGTCTCATGAGCTCGATGTTAGAATAAAACAGTCGATACTTTCGCAAGTAATCAGGGATCACGTGGCAACACGAGAAAGCAACTTAGAGTCACCGAGTTGTTGTTCAGTATAGTAAATAAGGAGAATAATATACGAGACTGATTGCTGTAAAATTTATCAGACGCTGCTCAGAAGGTGATGTGATGGAAGCTGCTGTCAAAGCTTAGACGTCAGGCCAGAGTCTCCAGATACACGTCAGAGAAACATATGTGTCGGATCTTCATGCTTCTGGTAAAGGTATAAAAGAAACGGATAGCATTTCTTCATGAAACGATTCTGATGACTATTCTGATGTGCACTCTTGTGCTTACAAAATATGATATTCCAATGGTTGCAGAGTGTCATGGCTATGTCCCTACTTGAAGTAAAATGAGGACAGAGAACAGTTTGGTTTCTGATCTGGAGCTTTTTAATTGGTGTGGTTTACATCCGGTTATTCGTCAAAAACTAGAGATTTACTCCTGGATGTTAAAATATTGAGGAAGATGTATGTGATAGAGGCTCAGAATCACTGACAGAAGGAACCCAACGTTGGGCACGGGGTGTTGTTTGTGAACGTTGCTCACTTCTGTTTTGGTATGATCTGCTGGAAGAAGTCCACCAGACTAAACCAGAACAACAGATCTAGCTTTGATATTTGAACGTTTCTTCTCGTCTTGTTGCTAATTGCTGTCTTTGGAATGTAGTTGTCGTATTTTACCCGTGCTATATGCTTTGCGGTTGCGAGTTATGATCGAATTTGAACTTTGATGTCCAAGTGAGTAGGCATTAGAGACACCTTTTGCAGTACATGAATCAACTCCATAAGCAAAAGCACAAAAAGTTGAACAGTCGGAAAACTTGATTTGACCGCGCTCCTTGATTTGAGCGTGAGGAGTTGCCACAAGTCATGCCATTTTAGAATTATACTGTACTAAAAGATATCAGAAACATTCAGCGGACAACTTAATTGGTTAAACCAGAAGTAAGCTGATAATGAAGATGGAATACGGCTGCCATTGCTGTCAATCAGACTGCACAATAATGCCAACTGATTCAAAGGGGACCAGGGACGCTCTTCCTTAAAAGTGTATGAGGGAGGTAGACAACGACTCAGGAATGAATCAAGTGGACTGCCAGCATTCCAGCTCAGATGAAATCCACCGATCCGAAAGTCGACATCTCAGAGTTCAAAGCTAAGATCCGCTAAGCGCAACGAGGAGAGAGGGGTCTCTCCTCCGTGAGCTCTGAGATGTCGAATGTATTAGAGAGGTTGGAAGGTTGTTATGCAGCCGTCGTTATTAACTTGTTGCGTATTGAAGTGAGGAGTATATTAAACGATACCATATGCCATCAAACACCACTTATTGATCATCAAAGTCGATGTGCAGTCACTACCTTAAAAAGCCCAGCAACACGTTTGGACTCATATTTTGCGCCAGCACCATGCAATAGCATGACTTGACTTATTCGATGGTCAGACGAACAATGATGTTCTTCAGTGACTCGGAAACTTCTCAGTTGCCAACATTTATGAACTTTCAGCATCTATCTATATCAGAAACAACTATAGCTATGGATACTCGACTACTGGAAACAACATGAAAAGCTGGGCTCGTCCTTATCGCCTCAACCCACAGAGTGGCTAACGTATCTGAGCGGAAAAATTGGGTTCTAATCTCTTCCAAAATCTCATGGTAATGGCGGTGCCTCACGGCCTAGGCCAGATCAGAGTACGGTCTATTTTAGTTTTGGACACAATGTCACTGCTGCTGCTGCTGCAGAAGTTTATTGCCACAGTTTTGGGGATGTAACCCTCGCACTTCACATTGTCATGCCGAAGTCGAGCTGCAATGCCAGACCCTGATGTGACTCGGAGTCCATCAGACACTGCCAAGCTCGAGCTCGAGAGACAGACAGCTGAAGCAGAGAGGCGACATGGCACCACTCGCCTTCTTCTGTAAGTATCGAGATCATCATTCATGGTCACCTTGAAATCTCCAGCCCATGCATCCAATTTCCAAATCGACCTCAATCGCTGTAGTCACAGAGGCCGCGAATGCAGCGCCCGGGGAAGAAGGTGCCTCGGCGGGGAGGGCAGACATTGTTGCACATGCCGCAGTGGCGATTGTTGTTGAGGAGGTCGACGCAGCCCACGAGTCGGCCGCAGCAGCTCCAGCCGAAGAAGCAGCGCAGGCCGCAGACAATGCAGTTGTTCTCGTCCGAGCTCACATCCGTGCACACTCCATTGCAGCAGTCGGGCCCCTGCGATCCCGGCTGCGAGCACAGCGTCCTGTTCGTGCGGCAGTTGCTGTTCCTGGGAGGAGGAGGAGGCGGAGGAGGAGGAGGATTGCGGCGAGGAGGAGGAGGAGGAGGAGGCGATCTCCTCGGGGGAGGAGGAGGCGGCGATCGTGGAGGAGGTGGAGGAGGCGATTTCTGCTTCGGCGGTGGTGGAGGGGGAGATCGGTACGAGTACACTGGAGGAGGTACGCGTCTGGGAGGTGGCGGCGGCGGGGGAGATCGTCTGGGAGGCGGAGGAGGGCTGCGGCTGGGCGATCGGTCGTCGTCGTCGTCGTCGTCATCATCATCGTCGTCACTCAGCAGGGACCTGGAGCTGGACCTTCCGCTCTCCTCGACATCGACCCCGTCGTCGAAATCCTCGAGTCCATACTCGATTCCTTCTGCCAGCACCGTCGTCGCCACCAGCACGCTCGTGGCGGCTAGCAGCAGCAGCAGCAGCTTACTTACGGCCTTCATGGCGCAAATCCTCCCTTCCCCTGCCCGAGGCCGAGAGATTGACGATTTGCAGAATTGATCAGCTCAGAAATCGACACACAAATCCAAACTTTCGTCGACTTCTGATATATTGTGCACTGCAGTGTGAATCAGAGCGAAATTGCTTTCGTGGCCAGATTCGAGCAGAGCCACAAATTGAGCGTCCTCGTCCAGGACCTGGCACCCGTACTCGTACCAACCAATCGGGGGGATCTGATCGGTAAAAGCGAGGATGATGAGGAGGAGGAGGAGGAGGACTGGTGGACGAAGATGTGAGCTTTATACTGGGCTCGAAAGCTGATGTCTTTGCAGTACCGTCAGCTCGCTCTTTTATATTGAGCGAGCCCCGAGAGCTGCATCTGAGCGGACGATCGTCAGCTCCATGGCTCGGTGGCGTCGAGGCGGCGGGGTTGATTTTGGGGCTTCGAAGACGTGCCTCGTTGCAGGCCAGCAGCAGTGGCTGTCGACGTCCACTGTAACGTGCGTGCCCCTGGCAGTGGATTGCGCCCTGTGTCCAGCTTGCTCATCGGCCGTCGGCTCAATCATAAGCTTCACTGTAGACTCACGCTCTGAGATCTGCAGCAAAGAACGAGAGGCCACTCCTCTGCTGCTGCTGCTGCTGCGGCTGCATACGTGCGCACCTCTCTCTCTCTCTCTGAGTCTCTTATGAGCCGAATGTTTGCAGCTGCGAGCTTTTTCGTCGTCTCCCTCCCTCCTCTGCCCGCCCGCCCTTCAACTGTTTCGTGCATAGTTCGTTCGCTTTCAAGATTCATGCTTGCTTCGGCCATGTACTGCTCTCGATTTTGTCGTCCTAATCCTCGCTAATGTCAGATTACTGGCCGCCTTTAAGTCCCTCGTGCTGTGGCACCGTGACAGAGCTAGATCAGATGTCTACAGTGAGTGTCGTGTGACGAATGATCGGGACCCAGAGGTTGACATCTCTCGGAGCCTGAGCCTGAGCCTGAGCCTGTAGCGGCCAGAGAGAGACTTCAGAACTTGGCCAAAGCAAACGCTTTCGGTTCTTCGTGTCTGTAGCTGGGTCCCCCATGAGGCTGCAATAGAATTTGGAGTGTGTTCTTCGCCCTACTCCAACTTCCAACGTTTTGTTGCCTTGGTTTGGCCGGCCTCTGCCAATCTAATGATTCCTCCATTGTAGAGAATCAGAACGCACAATACAGGAGCTCTTCGCTATATTGGCAGCATCTGCTGGAAGCTTCTTGTTCACTTAGATGCTGTGATTTGCTTTTTCTGCTGTGAGGATCATCGACATATAACAGTTGGTAACATTGGTTTTGTTCGCCTTTGGGTGAAGCACGACGATAAGCTCATAACCTTTGCACGGTTTTGCTAAGACGCCACGTGAATACTTCTGAGTCATGACTCACAGACGGAGCTTAATGAATGAAGTATTAGCCAACATATTATTGAAAACAATTCTTTGCGACCGATCCACTTGACACTAAAATATTCTGAATCTGCCCAAGTATGTCCATCTTTCCACCATGGGGAAGGCTTTCTTGCACTCGTGACGAGTCTCACAATCTCAAGATCAGAAAAAGGTTCGCCAGATTTCTCTGTCGACTTCTCTTAGCGTAAAGGTTTTCCAGCACTTAGTGCGTCACCTGTATCTTCATTGCCCTTTCTCCCCTCTCAAGGATTGGGGGCTGTGATCACGTGTTGACGTCTCTCCACCTTCAAACCGTTCCCAGAACTCGCGAACAGCTGCTTTGCCCATGTTCCATAGAGTACAGACCCCACCATCACGTACGATCAAGTGGTGCAACCCTTGGCCATGGCTAACAGTAGGCTGATCACCATTCACTTGGTACATCTGCCAAGGTATGCAATCCGTTTTGTACAGTCCAATGAAACCACATGATCCTCCACTCGGATTTCGTTGTGGAAAGGAAAATGTTCAGAAGTAGCTGTGATTGTACCGCACCACTGGAGGGAGTCTACAATTTTAGCTTCGCCTTTCCAGGAGAGAGTATCCCTTTCATGTGTATGTCTGCATAGATTAAATTACCGACCGCTCGCAAGAGGATACTGTCCTTGGCCATATCAGACCTCAAAATCTTTCTTCTCAGCATCATCTTTGTGCTCTTGCCTCAAAAGTGACTGGGAATGTGGGACATTCTCATGAGATATTATGAGTATGTGTACCATTTGTATTTCAGGCAAGAAATTTAATGATTCTTTTATCTGGCCGCTCTATAAGAAGGTGTTTTGTTGTCAACGTCTGATTGCCTTTCCTCTCGTAGTTGTTTGTGTGTACACGTCTGCCTCTCCCTGAATCAAATGCAGCTTTCAGTGTTTCGGCAGTCTCGGGAGTGAGGCACAGTGTTCAACTTGGGCAACTTGCGCTCTGGAGATTTTCCAAAAGGACAAAGACGGGATCAATTTTCAACCACCTGTTGACTTTTTATCTGCGAGATGACGGGTGCTCTAAGTTTCTTGTAAAGCTGAGTTTTGTGGTCATTCCATCTGTTGGAGTGCAGATGCAGTAGCATAATTCCTTGATCACTGGAATTTTGATCACAGGCAGAGACGATGCAGGGCAATGCCGGCACAGCAGACCAGTGCTGCGAAGTTGCCTCGAAACCGTGAGGCATGAGGCGTGAAGCATACAAGTTGGAGTGATATCTGGTACGTGCTCCACAATTGGAGCTCGAAATATCTACTCCCGAGCGTTGCTTGCATGCATGCTCTGGCCGCTGACTTTTGAGGGTCAGAAGGATTTCGGGTTTTTCTTGCGGCTCGAACACGTACGCAGATGCCCCGGTTCTTGATACAGTTTCAAGAAACTTAATCGCAAGCGAGTTCAAGGCCTGCATGATCTAATCGTCACCGTCCTGTAGAAATATATGCTTCTTATAGTATTATCAGGGCTTATAATGAGGAATTCAATTCTTAGTGTTCAGAGTAAGAAACTTGAAATAATTCCATCTACATCAATGAGCAGCCGATCAAACTATTAGTCAGCCTTGACCAGCTGATTTCAGTCTGTGACAACCGATTAAAACGAAGTGGTGGAATATTTGCAGAGCAGCGTCACTTGTAGTTTAAAATAATACGTCGTTGTCGAGACTCGATTGGTCTTCTATTCTGATGATACGGCTGTTCTAGCTATGCTGGTTGTGGACAGTATGGGACAAGATGGTGCCGTTCCTAATATAACCTCTAATTAAGTATCCAGCTGAAGCTCCAGGGACCCTGAGACGAGCCATCAAGTCCAGGAGAACTGTACACAGAACTATCACGTGAAACTGTGCACAGTTTCCTACTGCCAGCTTCTCAGAAAAGCGAGAATCTCTGTGAGTTTAGAAACCAGAATACCAAGACTGCATTATTGATTCTGGAGTGAGATCTTGGCTATCAGAATTATTCTTCAGGTTGTAGGGTGTGGGGTTGAGTGCAGTCTGAAACGCAACTTGCAGAAGATGGCAAACAGCTAATCATATAATATTTGCAATCTGTTGTGCTGGGGTACTAATCGTGTGCTGATGAATGAATGGTCAACTAGTGAGTGGATAATGAATTTCAGACGAGACCTCGGTTCCCGTGGACAGATGTGTTGCGAACCAGGCGAGATGCTTCATGATGATTGGTCGGCTAGGTAGTAATCTCGACCTCGTTCACAAGTCTGGAAAGTCCTCCACGCATACAATGATGCAAAGGCCTCTCAAATCTGTTCGATGAACAGATAGTTCGCATATACACATCGAAGCCCAAATTGCAAGGACATTCGGAAGAAATTCTGTCTATAAGACTGAAGAGTTGTTTTGCAGAGTTGGTTCTCCGAGACTGGGATCCATACAGAGAGCAAGTGTCATGTAATGCACAGCATATTCATCACTGCAGTATCTGGAAAAGCTTACCTCAATTCTGTGTCCAATTTCTTGCAGCTAGATTGGACCTTGTCTCACTTTGCAACACAGTGTTTGCAGAGCAGCCGGGGATTCGAACATGGAATACTTCTCTGCAGTTGAGCATTACCAAATTTCTGGCTGCGAGATTTCCATCCAGAATGTCATTTTGTCCTACGTACCGGCTCGACATTGAGACAAGAATCTTGTGTAAGATCTGTGACAGGGGACAGTCGACAGGCTTCTCCATTCGTATATGGCAGGATGATCAACTCCCTGAGCTTCGAGAGTTGGGAGCAGAGCTTTTTCCGAGAAGAGCACAGCAGCAGGATCAGGATCGACTGCTTCACCGTTTCGAGAACTGGATAGAGTCTCATCCGATGTGGAAAGAAATCGATATGGATACTGTATGGAATTCGTGTCCTGGATCGTGCTCTCCGCCACTTCCAAGGCCCTGTGCATGCTTCGCCTCGAACGGGTGACATGGACCGTTGGGACGGCTACTAGTCGGAGCGGGAACGTGAAGGCTGAAGCGGGCCGCAGTTGCCGAACGACGTCCTGCATGCGAATAATTCTGGAATATATCTGCACGTTCGTTCCCTTGGACGGCGTTCCGTCGACGTCTTTCCTTCCAAACCGAATTCCTGAGTCAGCAAATCCTGGCACGTATAGTTGCGGAAGACAAGCTAAAAATTTGAAAATCAATAAATCATACTGTCTTACATTGTCAACAAGGGGGTGTAGCTCACATGGTAGAGCGATCGCTTTGCATGCGGTAGGCACGGGGATCGATACCCCGCACCTCCACAGATGCCGGTTTTGTTTTGTAATTTTTCCTCGTGCTTTGCGGTCATCGAGTCCTCCCTCATATTCGCGGGTTTTCTGCACTCTCCTCTTTCCTTTGAAGCATTGAATGTGCCTACGAACCCTTCTAAACTACACTACAGATAATATTATCAGCCGTGATGGACCAAAGTAAGATTCATTCATCATCACATATTTAAAGTAAATTTGTAACGATTGTGTTTATGTAAGTGATGGTAAATTTGTTACATTTTTACTTGCTTTATTACATTTGAGAAGAATAAAGATGAAATATTTCTCTAGAATAATGAAAATTATATATTACACTGATATTTTATTACAATGTGCAGATAATACATGTCTTTATCTATATAATATTTATATAAATCATATTCGTATTCTTGATCTTTAAAATCGTCAACTCTGTACAAGAAATCACCCATGTTGTTGAATATTTTGATTGACATGTGAATATTGAATATATTATATTATTTCTGGTACATAAAACAAAATAAATCAATTGAAATTGTTTTTATAAGTATTTCTTGCAAGATTATCCCTGTGTGTTATTTCGACTTCTGATTATTATAATGTTAAACAAATGGAATCAAGTACGAACCTTCATAGAAACAATTTTGAAAATTATTGACAATGAGCATATAATAGAGTGATTCATCGACTTGCTATCCTTTTTATATATCTTCATGTCTCATTAGATGATCTTAGTTCAAATGCATATATTTTTTAAAGCATTTAGTTGTTGAAATTGAATGATAAAAGTAATATATTGTTAGAACTAATGACAGTATAAACTTTCATGTTCAAATGCTAGCATGAGACAAAAGCTGTGATAACATCTCAAATTCGTATGCATGAGTCGTTCTATGACATCTGATTGAAATAAGTTTTACAACCGTGCAAGTTATCTACGCTTTTCAGCTGTGTGTTATTTATAATATAATTAAAATAGATGAACTCACGATGCATCTTACCTCTAAACTTAATTTTAATCTAGTTACTTTTCTTATGCTTTTTCTGAATGTCTTCGATTAAAAAGAATCAAGTGAAAAATCATAAACTGGCATTCTTGTTGTCAAAGTCCTCACCAATCTAACGCTAGTTTCTTTCTATCTTTTGAAACTCGACTTCTCCAAATTATGACCAGAGAGTATAAATAAATACTCTCTGGTCAAATAAGTCTGAATAATTTTGAACTTTAGTCAGAAATGCCACGGAAGAAGTGAAACCGCTCTGCGAGAATCGCAGATCCGGCAGGCAGGCAAGCGTGGGGAACAATGTAAGAAGTATATGTTACAGCCTTCGGCCCTAAATATATATACTTTTTTGTGGCGTGAAATTGCTGAATTAAGGAAGCCATTCAAAGGCTAAATCGATTGAATCTAAAGCTTCAAATGACTTGGAACTTTGTAATGGCAGGGTAAGTGTTAAACAATTGGGAGACACCGGGAACATGAGCAGATCATCCTCTCGTAAACATCCATATATGGTCACATGGTCACCTCGAGAACAAGTCCTGGTGTTCGATTAAGTCGATCTCGTCTTCCTCCATCTGGCACTGCAGCAGTTCGTCTCGTGTTCGTTGCTGAAACTGTTCTTTGGTCTTAAGGCTGTGACAGCTGTCGATGGAGAACATCCGAATGACACGTTCAGCCGAGTTTCGAGTACTTTGCCGCAGAGGTGAAGGTGACTGCTTCAGGTGAATCAGCGATTCCTGTGTAGAAGCTCCATCCATAGGTTTCAACTTTACAAACAAGTCGAAAGTCGATGGTGGGTGGCAGTCTTCAAGCCTCGCCTGCTATTCCTTCACAGGAACATTTATCTTTCTGCGTTTCTGTAAGATCTCATGAAGATTTATGATTTATGCACTGGAACCCCAACAAGGAGGTGTAAACTCTTTCAGGTTTGCTCAACTTTCACAATCACAAACATTTCAGTAAAATGGATAATAAAAATATTATTGTTTTTTTACTCCAAGAACAAGAGAAATCCTATATTTATTCTTTTGATTCACTTGTCTTGAAATATTTTGTGAAAGATAAATAAACCTGAAGGAGTTCACACTCTCTCAAATTCAATGATTAGCTCAACCGCAACAGCAAGAATGCTCGGCAAGAAGGTAACATGGGATTGATCACTAATGAATCACAGGCAACAGATATACTGAAGCAGGAAATGACCGGCTCCTCCTTTCACGGGCTTTCATTCGACGAAGGAATCTCAGAGTCTATAAACAAGAAAATGCGGAGAGAAGCGCCGAGAGGTCGGAAATGGCTTTAGGATTTTCCGCACACACTCTATCCATCTCTGATAAGGCTGAAAGTTCACACTGAACTCAACGATAGGTAAGAATGAGTATTTATCTGTTCCAAGTTGTAACGTCTGAACGTCAAACAACAATTTTAAATCCTCGGTCGTTACATCCCATCCTACTGCAGCGGCAACATCCGCGCCTTATGCTACAGAAGTCGCGGAATCATTGTTTGAAACCGTCGTAACGTTCGAGTATTTCAGTTTTGAAAGTAAATTTCGACGTAGGAATTTTTATTTTTTTTATCAGTTTTATTTATTTATTATATATAATTATTAGCTTTGAAAAAATATATATTTTTAAAATTTTATTTAATATATAACCATATATATATTGTTATTAAAACTATATACTTGAATCTTGACAGGTTTCAGGTCAGCGGCCGGTGAACTCGTATTTCTCTTCGATTCAAGGAAGCTGATGTACCGAGGTGAGGTGACCTGTTTGTTCGAATCAAATTTCAGCTTCCTGATTATGATTTCATGCACGAAGACTGAGATGTGTTGCATATGCAACCGATTTCTGCCTCAGATCTTGCCTCCAGGAGTGAAGGGTCTTTTAAGGATTTGCCTGGTAGATGTGAACTTTTGCATCTGGGATACCTAAAAAACATACAAGTCCCACATTTGTAGAATACGATTGAATTGCGTACAACACGTCAAAAAAGTCACTCCCAAAACTCGACATTTCTTTTCTCGGCAAGGTTGCCGTGCAAGAATCTTGTTTCTATTGAGTATCGGATATTGAGTTAAACAAACAAACTTGCACTGTGGCCATGAAGCCTCATCATTGGACATCATGCTTAAGAAGCCGAGAAATCTTTGCAAGAAGCTTCTCGTCATATGGAATTCGCATCCAGCGTCTATGAGCTAAAATTGAGAAATCGTTTCTTCACTTATTCATCCTCATAACTAGCCATACACCAAGTGAGCTACGTAAGCATGCAGAAAGCTACTGATGATACTGACAGATGCTGTTACTACATAAAACTTATCTTCAATCTGTACATTATCGAACAGCCTCAGAACCAGATCATTAAAATATATAACTGATAGGAGGAAAATTGCTTTCCTGGATATTCTTACTGCAACAGATTCTGGTGAATCAGCCCGAGTCGACACTAAAGGCCACAGGTACATGAGGATAGTTGTGACAAACAAACTTGTGATAATCTCACACAGCTCCGTGAACAAAGCTGCAGAAGATTTCTCATTTCCGTGGCAGAAATTCTTCACGGTATTTGTCTCGATGGGCCGGATTTCGTCCTTCATAATGACTACGTCAGCTGTTCAGACTGATCCTCACTGACTGGCATTCGCGAAGACAGTAGTCAAGAGTGCCGCTTGTCTCTGTAGAAGCATTACAAACTGCGTCAGTGGTACAGTACAAATTACCACGTTTATATCTTAATTTCTGCTACATTTTCGCACAAAAAACGCAGTTATTCTTCAACAGATGCCGAAGTTTCTCGTGCCATTGCTTGCTGTCAAGATGAGGCTTCTCTTTTCTCCATGGTTTTCAGTAACCTTCAAATTCCATACATCAGTCGCTTCGTTTGCCTGCAGAAGCTAATCCAACTATTCAGCTATGGAGAGCCCGAGACTCCACCCTTACAAACCATCAAATCTGCGTTATATACATGCAGCTGATGTTCGTTGACGTATCTTTCGATTTCAAACCAGCAGCTGACTAGCTGATTCTCAAGACGGCGGTTGTTTTTGATCGGCGTCTCAACGTGCAGATTGCAGGATGTGGAGAAGGGAAGGAGGCTCCATCTGATTTTGATTTTCAGATTGAAACATAAATTACTCATTAGAATACCATTCTCTGAATCTTTCAGCAGTGCAGCTCGTTGAGAAGCTTGATAGAGGTAAGGCTCATCTGAATCGTCTTACTAGTGGAGGAGCATCGGGATGCAGCTCAGCAAGCTGACCTTCTCATTATCGACAACTGGATGATTTTATTCTCGCAAACCGTTCCACGCTTCAAGATGCAGTGAAGAGCGTTGGTACTGCTATACCAATCGATAAATAACGAGTGAGCATTTCTGACTGACTAGGTTATTGCAACCTCACTGATAAAGCCATGCTCGTTTGACGCAGGGTCGTTGTCTCTCATTTACATTCGACAAGATTCGACAAGAGGAACTACTTCAACAGTTAGTGAAACCAGATAGAAAGTGTATCCGTGATTGAAGTGCTACTGTGATTTCCAGCAAAAGACAGTCACTCTCAAGGTCAGTAGGGCCTCTCAACGCTGAAAACTGTGAGAATATGATATTTGCATTTATGTGAAACATTTGGAGCGGCACAATATAGAACACATTTGCGTAGAACATCTTAACATTTGTAATCGAGCATCGTTAGGATGTAGAAATCCTATTGTAAACTTCTATAATGTGACATTGATTTTGTGTAAGAAGTTAACGCTATGGGCATGTGGGATGGGCATGTGGGAATTGATCTTTTACAGGAGAATAAGAATTCTGTTTAGTCCAGATGTCAGATGCGAGTACTGTCTGCAGAAGCCAATACAAGTAGCTTCATATCAAAATTGAACAATGTCTGTAGCTTTGAAGACGTTCTTTTGGTACAAGATGCACGACATTCTGTTTCGTAAACAGGTGCTTAAATGAACAAAGGACACAGTCCGCACCCAAGCTATCACAAGGGAGAGTGAAACTGAGTCGTTTCAATAAGCACAACTTGCTTCTGAAATCTACCATATTATATGATCGTCTGGGAATAGAAAGCTTGATCTACATCTCTCTCCAGGGTCACAGAGACCAACTCTAGCGAGGAGATTGATAGTCTTTCCAGCTCCTCCACCACCGCCAAACTTCCTTTTGTGATTTTCCCAGGCGGGCCGTGGTTTGTAGGTTCTCGTGCTTTGCAGTCCTCCCTCATATTCACGGGTTTCCTACACTCGCACTCTCCTCTTTCCTTTAAAGCATTGAATGTGCCTACGAACCCTTCTAAACTACACTACAGGTCAGCCGTGATTGACCAAAGTAAGATTCATTCATAATCAGATTTTTAAAAATATTTTGTAACCATTGTGTTTATGTTAGTGATGTTAAATTTGAGACATTTTTACTTGCTTTATTACATTTGAGAACAATAAAGATGAAATATTTTTCTAGAATGAAGATGATTATACATTACATTGATATTTGATTACTATGTGAAGATAATACATATCTTTATCTATGTAATATTTATATCAATCATATTTGTATTCTTGATTTTTAAAATCGTGAACTCCTTAAAAGAAATCACGGATGTTGCTGATTATTTTGATTGACATGTCAATTTTGAATATATTATGTTATTTCTGGTAAAAAAAAAAAAAATTGAAATTTTTTCTTCTCCTATTTTTTATTTTTTCAATAAATGTTTCTTGTGAGATTATCCTTATGTGTTATTTTGACTTCTGACTATTATAATGTTAAAAAAATGGAATCAAGTACTAACCTTCATAGAAACGTTTTTGGAAATGGTTGACAATAAACATATAATAGAGTGATTCATCGATTTGCTATCTTTTTTATACTTCTATATCTCCTCATGTCTGATTGGATGATTTTAGTTTAAACCCCATATTCTTTTTGAAGCATTTTAAAAATATCTTTAGTTGTTGAAATTGAATGACATAACTAATATATTGTTAGAACTAATGACATCATAAATTTTCGTGTTCAAATGCTAGCATGACACAGAAGCTGACATAACATATCAAATTCGTATGCATGAGTCGTTCTATGACATCTGATTGAGATAAGTTTTACAACTGTGCAAGTTATCTACGCTTTTCAGCTTAATATGTGTATTATTTATAATATAATTAAAATAGATGAACTCACGATGCATCTTACCTCTAAACTTAATTTTAATCTAGTTACTTTTCTTATGCTTTTTCTATGTCTTTGATTAAAAAGAATCAAGTGAAGTATCACAAACTGTCATTCTTGTTGTCAAAGTCCTCACCAATCAAAGGCTAGTTTCTTAGTATCTTTTCAAACTCGACTTCTCCAAATTATGACCAGAGAGTATATATAAATATTCTCTGGTCAAATAAGTTGTAATACTTTTGAACTTTAATTTTCCAGAACAATGATGACCAGACAAAATAGAAGAGAGATTTGCTTGATGGGACCCATGCGGAAAGTAATTTGCTTGATGGGACCATTCAGGTTTCATTTTACCCGATGGGACACCATGAACGATGCACCGTCACCCATGTTCTAATAACAATTAGAGAGAGTGCAACGAGTCCACCGCAACCGCAGACAGAGTGGACTTCGGACTCCATCACACTCACTTGTTTTTATGTTGTCATTCTGTATCCGACCACTCTCCAAGGAGACGAGCAAAGAAATGTTCATCCGGAGTTTATTTGTTCGTCACAAATGGGTGACGTGAGACTTGAGCAGGGTTACAGAAGGAGTGTGCAGGTGGGAGGCAATAGAGAAATCTGCGAATCTTTGCGGTGGGAAGAATTGAAACACAACAAATTGCACTTCGAGCAAAATCGATCTTTGTCCCCGTGATAATCCACCAGAAATTATAATCAAGGATTGATCTCTGATTGTAATTCCCGCATTGTAACTAGTAGCAATCGTAGTTACAAGAACTATGTCCGACGGCACACTGTCGTTAGGGTCCCATCGGGTAAAACTAAACCTGAGGGGTCCCATCAAGCAAATCTCTCCAAAATAGAATAAATGCCTGCGTAGGACCCATCCATTCCGATTTGCTCTTACTTTTATCTTAATTTGTATACAGAGAGTTGTAATTATTTTTTAATCTTTTGATTACCATTCTCCCATCATAAAATTTATGTAGGCTCGGCTTGTCTTACTTTGGCTTTCATGGGTTCTGAAAAAAGTGATCATCATTTAAAACCTTTTACTTGACATTTCATTAAGCGTAAACATACTTATGTTCAACTTTGTCGTTGATGTTTCCCTCGATCACAACTTTCAACTTAATGCAATTGATTTACGCAATCTTCCACAGTTCAAATCTATAGTTTAGTAAATATGTTTGGTAGATTTTGTAACAAATAGTCGTTATGGGGCTCATCAATTTTTCTTGAAAACCTTATTGCGATTTGGTACTGGAAATGATGATCTTTTACATCATTCAGAATTATTTTGTTGTTATTGATTTTTCATATTTGTGAGTTCAGCTGTTTAATCCAACTAATTAAATATATAGCAGCGTAGTGATCAACACATTCTGTTCGCTGGACTGTACCGAACCCATGTTTAAAAATGAAAAACTCCATAAACATTGTATACAACGAAGTCAACGTAATAAATCGCGTAAAATACGTGGAGGAAAGGATATTCTGCTTGTAATTCCTACCTCGGAAGATCATCTAGATTCACCATCGATATGTTCGATATGCACCAAAGGGCATTCTGGAGAAGAGTTTTATTACCGTATTCAATTCTGCAGAATGGAGTGACGCATGGCTTTGGCTATGGATGGTTTGTTCAACAAGTTCCAAAAAAAAGTCAATGAAGAAGTGAAACTGCTCTGCGACTCTCGCAGATCCGGCAGGCAGGCAGGCAAGCGTGGGGAACAATGTAAGAAGTATATGTTACAGCCTTCGGCCCTAAATATATATACTTTTTGTGGCGTGAAATTGCTGAATTAAGGAAGCCATTCAAAGGCTAAATCGATTGAATCTAAAGCTTCTAATGACCTGGAATTTTGTAATGGTAGGGTAAGTGTTAAAGAATAGGGTATGTACGTTACATCCCATCCTACTGCAGCGGCAACATACGCGCCACTGCCACTCTCCGCGCCTTTTGCTACAGAAGGCGCGGAGGAATCATCGTTTGAAACCCTCGTAACGTACGAGTATTTCAGTTTTGAAAGTAAATTTCGACGTCTGGAAAATTCTTATTTTTTGTCAGTTTTTTTAATATATTATATATAATTAAAGCTTTGAAAAAAATATTTTCCAAATTCCTTAATATTATTAAAAATATAACTATATATATATATATATATATATTGTTTAATAAAACTATATACTTGAATCTTGACAGGTTTCAGGTCAGCGGCCGGTGAACTCGTATTTCTCTTCGATTCAAGGAAACTGATGTACAGAGGTGAGGTGACATGTTTGTTCGAATCAAATTTCAGCTTCCTGATTATGATTTCATGCAAGAAGGCTGAGATGTGTTGCATATGCAACCGATTTCTGCCTCAGATCTTGCCTCCTTGAGTGAAGGGTCTTTTAAGGATTTGCCTGGTAGATGTGAACTTTTGCATCTGGGGTACCTAAAATCTATACAAGTCACACATTTGTAGAATACGATTGAATTGCGTACAAATTATGATAGAATTGCGTACAACATGTCAGAAAAGTCACTCCCAAAACTCGACATTTCTTTTCTCGGCAAGGTTGCCGTGCAAGAAGCTTCTTTCTATTGAATATCGGATATTGAGTTATACAAACTTGCACTGTGGCCATGAAGCCTCATCATTGGACATCATGCTTAAGAAGCCGAGAAATCTTTGCAAGAAGCTTCTCGTCATATGGAATTCGCATCCAGCGTCTATGAGCTAAAATTGAGAAATCGTTCTTCACTTATCCATCCTCATAACTGGCCATACACCAAGTGGACTACGTAAAAATGCAGAAAGCTACTGAGGATACTGACAGATGCTGTTATTACATAAAAATTATCTTGAATCTGTACATTTTCCAACAGCCTTGCAACCAGATCATTAAAATATATAACTGATAGGAAGAAAATTGCTCTCCTGGATATTCTTACTGCAGCAGATTCTGGTGCATCAGCCCGAGTCGACACTAAAGGCCACAGGTACATGAAGATAGTTGTAAGCAACAAACTTGTGATAATCCCACAGAGCTCCATGAACAAATCTGCAGAACATTTCTCATTTACGTGGCAGAAATTCTTCACGGTATTTGTCTCGATGGGCCGGATTTCGTCCATCATAATGACTACGTCAGCTGTTCAGACTGATCCTCACTGACTGGCATTCGCGAAGACAGTAGTCAAGAGTGCCGCTTATCTCTGTAGAAGTATTACAAACTGCGTCAGTGGTACAGTACAAATTACCACGTTTATATCTTAATTTCTGCTACATTTTCGCACAAAAAGCGCAGCTATTCTTCAACAGATGCCGAAGTTTCTCGTGCCATTGCTTGCTGTCAAGATGAGGCTTCTCCTTTCTCCATGGTCTTCAGTAACCTTCAAATTCCATACATCAGTCGCTTCGTTCGCCTGCAGAAGCTACTCCAACTATTCAGCTATGCAGTGCCCGAGACTCCACCCTCACAAACCATCAAATCTGCGTTATATACATGCAGCTGATGTTCGTTGACGTATCTTTCGATTTCAAACCAGCAGCTGACTAGTTGATTCTCAAGACGGCGGTTGTTTTTGATCGGCGTCTCAACGTGCAGATTGCAGGATGTGGAGAAGGGAAGGAGGCTCCATCTGATTTTGATTTTCAGATTGAAACATAAATTACTCATTAGAATACCATTCTCTGAATCTTTCAGCAGTGCAGCTCGTTGAGAAGCTTGATAGAGGTAAGGCTCATCTGAATCGTCTTACTAGTGGAGGAGCATCGGGATGCAGCTCAGCAAGCTGACCTTCTCATTATTGACAACTGGATGATTTTATTCTCGCAAACCGTTCCACGCTTCAAGCTGCCGTGAAGAGCGTTGGTACTGCTATACCAATCGATAAATAACGAGTGAGCATTTCTGACTGACGGATTCTTGCAATCTCACTGATAAAGCCATGCTCGTTTTACATTCGACAAGATTCGACAAGATGAACTACTTCAACAGTTAGTGAAACCAGATAGAAAGTGTATCCGTGATTGAAGTGCTACTGGGATTTCCAGCAGAAGACAGTCACTCTCAAGGTCAGTAGGGACTCTCAACGCTGAAAACTGTGAAAAGATGCTTTTTTCATTTATGTGAAACATTTGGAGGAACACCTTTGCGTAGAACATCTTAACATTTGTAATCGAGCATCGTTAGGATTTAACAATCCTTCTGTAAACTTCTAGAATGTGACATTGATTTTGTGTAAGAAGTAAACGTTATGGGCATGTGGGAATTGATCTTGTACAGGAGAATAAGAATTCTGTTTAGTCCAATGTCATATGCGAGTACTGTCTGCAGAAGCCAATACAACTAGCTTCATATTAAAATTGAACAATCTCTTTAGCTTTGAAGACGTACAATTGGTACAAGATGCACGACATTCTGTTTCGTAAACAGGTGCTTAAATGAACAAAGGACACAGTCCGCACCCAAGCTACCACAAGGGAGAGTGAAACTGAGTCGTTTCAATAAGCATGACTTGCTTCTGAAATCTACCATATTATATGATCGTCTGGAATAGGAAGCTTGATCCACATCTCTCTCCAAGAGACCAACTCTAGCGAGGAGATTGATAGTCTTTCCAGCTCGTAATTCTGTCCATCAGTAGAAATTCCTTATCGAAAAGAGCATGGTCTATTCATGGGACCACTCATGCGCTTTTGACGCCAGCCATTTGGCCAACCGGCGTAGGATGGTCATAATTCGAAGTGTGACAACTCCTACGATATAGTATGTTAAGCAGTTGGAGAGTCCTTGGTGATACGCCCAACAGAGGAAAAGGGAAGCCCACAATACAGGCACGACAACCTGCAAGCAGTGCAATAACACGTTGATTGCTTCGTGGCACCATTGCAGATTCTTTCGACTCACGCACCAATGGCGAAATGCAGTCGTCTTCTGCAAAATGAAGCGGAAAGTTGTGACACAGAGAGCGAGAATGAAAAGAAAGTGTAAATTGTTCCTGTCCATCGGTCTCCTTCCATCGTCGTGCGCTGTGTCGCCTGCAGAGATGGATAAGGATGACCGAGAGGACTGTTCGAAAGTTTCGTCCATGTGCTCCATAATGACCAGAATGCCCAGAATGCCCCGTGCCAGCACTCCGCAGACGAACTCAAATGCCATCAGTCGGTAAAGTATCTGGAGACAGAGAACACCATCGAGACTGTGTGAACCTCAGCAGTGAACACACCACGTTTCAAACCTGGCGATAAAAAAATACGACGATGAGTGTCAGAAATGGCAAACTAGGCTGAAATCGGAAGGCGAATGAATGCTGTCTTTTCACATCGGTATCGAAGAAAATGTTGAAACTTTCATACTCATCATCATTTCACGTTGGCTCTAAAGATGTCTACGGCCAATTACTCCCACGCTTTTCAACCACGCTCGGCTCGAACCAGAGGAGGCACTCGGAGGCACCGAATTGGTAAACTCACTTGTTACACTCCACTACTGACAGCTATCCCAATCGGATGATGATTAATTTACCAAGACAAATGAACTTCGTGTCTGATCTGTCATCGACAGGCACATCAAGAGATGAGGAGAGATGAGGAGGAAAGCTAAAGCAGTCGAGTGCAAAGTGCGGCGGTAGTCTCTTAGGTTCATAAACACAAGCACGGCTGCACATAACTTCAGAAGAAGGCGGATCTTGATGCAAAGCACGGGATGGCAAAAATCAGGCAGATCCTTCTTTCTTCGTCTGCAATCTGAATCGGAGTCTCTTGGATTTTCTTCCTCACTGCATGCATGTCGGGCGGAAGTTCGGCGCCGGTGGAATGTCTTCCGTTGGAAGTCGTTGTGGGCGGCGCCGGCGATGGCGATGGATGCATGATTCGAATTCGAAGAGACGAATGGCTCTGGCTACCGGGTCCGCATATTTTCCGTTGAGACGAGTGGATTTGAATATGAAGATTTTCCAATTGTAGTTGACGGGCCAAGATCTACCGGAAACGAGCTTTCGGAACTTCACGGAAAGCTATCGTCTTGTTTCTTGATTGTTGTCGGGCATCGGAGCTCGGGTTTGTTCCTCGTAGATAACTTTGGCAAGATTGAGACTGTGCAGTAGTACATTCGATTCTTCTACTTGAAGAATTTTGAGAATTAGCAGAGTTTTACAATTCTTCTCGAAACTCTCGTTCCAATTCTCTAAGGAATTCACAGATTTCTTCGATTCTTCTCGTCCTGGATTGAGGATCGCCAAAAACACTCCACACAGAGTCGGAAAGTTTAATCAACTATATCCAAGACAAGATACCTCGAGAACCATGTCAGAACAGACTTCTATTTATTAATGACGATGAAATCATTCCCTTTCATTTGGTTCCAGCTCGAATGATCCAATGGACGTCTGGAGCTCACCATGGTCACCGGCGATCAAGAGAACGATCCAATCGTTCTGTCAATTCAAGCTTCCGAGGATCTTGGTCAATTCCTTGTGACCTGGTGGCGTCGTCTTGTCCACACACACACACACCCACCCACACACACACCCACCCACCGTGACCTTCAAGAATCAGCGTACATTCCAAATGCCAGCAACATCGTGGCAATGTAGGTGAGTAAAAATTCATAGATTTCAGTCGAATCCTTCTGTCTCACCTCCAGATATTGAATGCATCGCTCTCCATGAACAATATGAAACAATAGTTCACATCCTTGAGACCTAATTCGTGTCCGGTCATACACATGACCACTTGGGGCTAACCAGTCGTTTCCCGCCGGGTTTCATCTTTGATTTCTTCGATGCGGTAAGCGAGAGGCTTGAACGGCCTTTGATCATCCAGAGAGTTTATCTCCATGTCTCGCCACTAAATAATTTGTTTGTTTTGATTTATTTTCCATTCGGTTGTATATTTTGGATATCATCCTCGAAACTTTTACTTCGGAGTATATCTTGTATCACAATAATTATCTAAATATTCTCCAGTTTTTGCTGCTAAATGGATTCATTCTCTCGATAATTTAGCGATTGATCAGATGCTGTGGGGCTACCACGCCTCTCCCTCCATGACCCGGACACAAAACAAATTGGCCACACAGAAGAATGAACGAGAAGGAGAAACGGTTCGAGTTTGGCTCGGATTAGGTAGCAAAATTTGCCAATATTCCAACTCAGGAATTGTAGATATTAAATATATAGAGTTTTCTAATGTCATTGCAAAACACATATTGATATGAGTCACTCATAAATGACGTAATGTTCTGTTTTCTAACCTATACTTTGGATTTCGTAAAATATTATAAATATGTAGTCTGCTAACTTTGATCTTAACTTCTCGTCGACCAGGGCACATCAGTGCCAAGGGCTTCTACTTGTACCCAGTCCAATATTAAACCGGTAGTTCTGTATCACCTCAACATAGTAAGGGTAAAATGAAGTTCATGAGTGAGCTGATATTTACAGGTCTGGAAGCAATGGCGATGATGTGAATGAATCGTCATGTTTTACGCACAGTAGATCGTCGCCATCTTAAGATACTTGACGTGATGAAACCTGGAACTTATTGAAACTTTGAACCAACACGAGGCATTGAGGTTTGATGTAGCACGTGCACTTTCTATCCCATCCCTTGTCCTTTCAAAGCAGGAGTGTCTATTGGAGCTGCCATGCAAAAGTTTCAACTTATACAAATTTTGTGTTCATGTCAGAGCTATCTGATCTTCAAAATCCATCTTCAGCAACGAACAAGTCGGCACGTAATTTGATTATCGAACACGAGACATGAATTAAGCTTTCTGGAGTTCAAAGCTTGCGATGATGTATCCGCCCTTCTCATGACTGCTGCAAATAGCGTGAAGACAATTAATACTTCTCTCGGAGGCCGTCTTCAGTAGTACGAACAGAAACAACCCAGCCCGTATATTACTCCTGCTCTGGAATTCATAGGGAACACAGAGACCTCATCACCACCTAGAGACCACTATCTCACCATCTGCACCAAATTCTAGGAGAAGAATTCTTGTGTAATAAGAATTTCGCTATCATAGCTTGGACCGTCAACACTACATTCTAGACTTTATTAGAATATATACAGACATGAGATTGACATCATTATACTAGAGCCTGAGATCGTGCATCTGCCTTTCGAGGGAGGCTATCGAAAGCTATCTAGAAAGCAAGTAGTTGGATGTACTTTATACATTAACACAGTAAGAAGATCACGTTTCTTATAATTGTTTTTGAAAGTCCCAATGGTACTTATTTCAGCCACAATGGGATATCTCAGTTTTTATTTAAAAGTTCGTTGTCTACATCTTTTGCATCCTTTTGATTCTCCACATTCACATCGATGTGGAGGCGTGTGGTCACCACATTTTGTCACGAGAAGATTTGTTATTATTTATGTTAAGTGATAATATATATATAATATACGAATAAAGAGTAAATCAGAAAGTTATTTGAGTAAGCAAAGTTAGCGAAGTCCAAGATCATTGACCAGTGATGATAGGTCAGGTTTGAAATCCAGCGTAATGTAATCCAGAAGTGTTTACGCGTGATTATAGGTGATGAGTGAAACCCTACGAAATAAAGAAAAATGACATTCGATTGATATGGAAAATAAATGAGAGGTTTTGACATTTTCACTTCATGTGAGTATAACTTCTAAGGGGTTCTCATGAGTGTATATATGTACTAGAATGGTCTTTGAAAATATCAAAAATAACTAAAAAAAAGTGAGTGTATACATATAACAAAAAGCTGTACATGAAACAACGATTTGGCTTCTGGTGGTAGAATAAGAAGCGTTACTATTTCTGTTTTCTTTTGGACTGAAGTTGTGTTGTGTTCCTCATTTCTTTTTCTCATGGTCTTTTAGTGGTTATCAGATTATGGTCGGATTGAGATCACATAGGTGAAGGTGTGTGCTGTTTTGATTAAGCTAATGCTTTAATTGTACTGATATAATTATTCAAATAATTATCTTGTCATTTGTGAATTGGACTGCATGCATGAGAATCTCTGTCCGTTGATTCTATAGATGGAGTAGATATGGATATAGTATTTATGAGGTTGTCTGCAAATTTCCATGAAGGTCAAATTGGACTGTACACAGTGTAGCTTAGCTGCACATAACTGGGTGTTAAATATTTAAGTTCTAAGTCAGAATTACAACAAGTCGGGCTAATTAATTAAAGTGCTACTTCCTTTTGTCTATCCTATTTACTAATTCGATACTATCTAAATCTAGGTTTCAGTTAGACAGTACACAAAAGCGTTGAAAGAAGCATTGAAGAGTTAGAACAAAGAATATCTTCTGGGTACCTGTTATCTGCTTAGAATTAATATACTATAAGTTATATTCATGAGTCTCAATCTTGTAAATTTCACTCTGGGAGTACCTAATTTCCACTTTTTATATAAAAGACATTTACTATTAATGCGATAGTGCATGATGATCTATAAGTTGTTAGAAGTGTTTCCACTCCTTTTGGGAACGAATATTGATTGTTATTTGGGGATAATGAGAACTTCTGCAATTGTGTTGGTCTCTACAAATTGTAATTTACTCTTCGCGGTAACCGATCTTGAGTGCTCACTGGCTGTAATTAGAGATTTCGGGGTTATGCATGTCACTACATACATAACTCTAACACTTGCATTTATACATTTGGAGGTGATTTTTGTTCACATTGAGTTTCCATGTTGTACATGTATAACTTCTTCAAAGTGACAATGATCTGATGGATCTAGGAAGCTAATTCATATTTCTAGCAATCAAGGGAAGTCAGAACAAAAATACGTTTGAGAAGAGGACACAAAAAGCAAAGGGACCGTCAGTTCGATCTCACATGACAATTGTTACGTCTGAGTTGCAACCTGCCTTCAGGCTGAGATATGCTGTAGAACAGAAGGATTCAACCAGATTCTAACCAGGGCATCGCCCTCTGCTCGAACTTGATGGCTAGACTTTAAAGATAAAGTGCCCTTGTGGTTTACTTGTGTTTTCATCGTGATTATCTTCATCAGTTTCCAGCCGTGGTACCCACTGCAGTTTGACATCTCGTGAAATGTTGATGTTAAATTTGAGTGCGTTTATTCACGTTTTCCAGGGAAGGATAGGGGTTTGCATACTTATGCCAATCACACCAATCGTCCAGCCAAAATGTTTAGAACAATTGTTTATTGAACAGTTTTTCCAGAAAAATTCTTCAAGTGAGGAATGTAAAGGGGGCGGCCTCAAAGCTGCTTCCCAGGATGCTCATTGTACTCATTCTAAGCAAGCTGGTCTATTATTGCTACACCTCTTACAGCTTAAATGCATCCTCTGATGGTCTACGTTCTCGTACACAACTATACATAAAGAGTAGTAGCAAGGATTCTGTATGAGCGTAGGCTCATCAATTACACCTACACATCATCATCTTGTGCTCAAGACATCACTTCCGCAGGAGACCGCGAGTACGGAACTCGCCACCAAGCATCCAGAAGACTCATCGTTGTTATTCTCAGATATGTCATCTCTGCAAGGAAAACGTTTCTTTTCAGAACAGAAAGATGTTTTTTCGATCGATAAAGTGCCAGAAATCATGCGGTATCGGGGAGACTAGGAATTTTACAATTTCTAACTGCAATCATCAAAGAGCTGCATCTGCTTCTGCTTCTGCAGATAAGAAACTACACTGTCTGAAAAGTACAAGAGCCAAGGAGATGGACTACAAGAGACTCTTCATCGCTATAATGACTTTGTATCAGAAATATACTCACATGAGGTCATGTACTTCTGGAAAACGCCATTGACCGACACCGCGATCTTGCTCAGATCTTCATAGCACCTCACTGTGCCACCCACTGGAACATAGACGTCACAACTGTAGATGATGTTGTTGATTTTGCAGCTGAGGTTCCATGTGAGTCCGAGCAGACCAGCTATCAAACCGCTGAGAGTGTAGAGGATGTCTATCACCGTGTGCTTGACGACGGTGATCAGGCCCAGGACATCGAGCCCTAGTATCACGTTGATCTTGACATCGACATCGTAGTCCGTGTCGTTGTAGCACTGGGACTGGTAAGAAGTAGCCGCCACTAAGGTCGCTATGCCCAGAAGCACAGCCAGTGTACAAGTAACGGCGATGGTATTCTTGGTATTCATGACAGAATGCGACGATTTGTCTGTATGAGCAGGTAGAAGAGACCACTCGAGATGCTTGCTTGTTCCGATGAGTGTTGATGATACCGGGAGGCAGAAAGGCTTGTGTAATTGCCTCTCACACTCCAGCTTTTATAGGCAAGGTGAATCCAATTTGAAGATGCTTCTATTGAATCGAATCTCGATATGCAGTTCAGGGTGGAGAGATCATCGATATTCGTCATCGCATAGATTCCGATGTTCAACTTGTGCAAATCTTAGTTTGACTCCAGATGATAGTCCAGTCACTGGAATGAGCCTTAGGGCCTGGAAAATGGTCGAAGATATCATTCCTGGTACTTTTCGCGGAAAAGATCCGAAGGTTGTCATATCAGAGGAAATGACAATCTTCTGAAAGTTGGTGCAAGGGAACATTCAATTGCTGTAAGATGCTCAGTGGTCACAAACTCTTTCAGATTATAATTAGATATCGTGCCCCGATGTTGTATACACTGTTCCTCTAGGCCGAGTCTAACACGATCATTGCCATGATCTATGGCGGCACGAATACTTTTAGAGCTAGATCTTTGTACTCAGAAAGCACAGAATTGCTTTGTAGGGATTTTACTGCGATCAGCTGTCATGGTAACCGTAGATATATGATGGTCTTTGGCTCGTCACGCGTTATGACATCTATTTGACGTCACTTACTGACTTCACTGCAGATTAAAATTCTCTTTAGCTTTTCAAGAGCTCTAATGTGGATAATTCTACCCAAGCACTCGTATACTACCGAGTACTTCTACGCTCTGAATGTGAAGTCTAAGACGAGGGTAAATCTGAAAAATGAACCAGACCAAGTGAGACGAAATATGAGGACATCAACAAAGCGATGATTGGGCACATAGAGTCGGTGACATTCATTTATGTATGGAGGAAATAGGCGTTCAAGAAACTTGCCATGATCATTTATGACAAACGCTTTCACGTGCATGTATCACAACTTCTATGCAACATTCAAATAGAAGTCTCTCTTAATAATAGATTTCAACTTCTTATATATGTTCCAAGGAAGCATACTGCTGAGAGTCAACTTAATGAATGACGCTCCACGAAGTATTTCCCAACTTCCAAGCTTAACCTGGTGATGAATAAAATATGGAGTGAAAGATTCACTCTCTTTGGCAATCATGAGCTGAAAGTACATCTCACTCGATCTCTTGCAGTTTGCTTGTACGTGACATCTCGTGATGTCAGCCAGCCAGGTCAGTGACGATCTCAGAACACACGAACGGACTTTAGCTCTACCCGAAGGACAAGGAGAGACTCTGCCCTCGAAAGCTTGTGGGGACTATGCCAGAGAAGTCGGCACTTCAGGGGTCCGAAGTGGTTTAATCAGGCCTGGGTTTAATAGCAAGCATCATACAGCAACGAATTGATGCCCAAAGGCTGTCAACAGACCGGCGCTTTCCGAGGGACGTCATCAAATGCGTGTCTAAGGCCTGTGTATATTCAATATTTGCTGCATGTACCTGTACAATGATTGTCCAGCACCAATATCCGTACGAAGTTATGGCGTTCAGGCTGGTTAAGGAATACGACATGAATTTGGGAACTTACGCCTGCGAAGGTCAATTTTGTTTTGCATCATCGGGAAACTTGTGTATACTCAGAAGACCATTGTCTGTCTCCTGGCCTGTTGTCGTGCTGCTCGACAGACTCGACTGCTCGTATTTTGTCTGCAAAGAAAGCGGTTCATAAATTCTCGATTGTGGTCTCGTTTTGTTTTCTTCCGTACACACTTCGGTCTCCAAAAACAAACTGTGTGTCGCTCAACTAATTTCCAAATCCTCAGTCGTCAGGTCCACATTGCGACCTTTTGGTGGCGGTTTTAGATCTACCTCTTGAGCCATCTGCTTACAAAGTTGACCGGCACGCATGCTTCGACATTCCATCTGTAACGGTTTAAGCTGGAGGCCGTCTTCGAGGTCAACATGAAAAGACCATGCAGGCAAGTCGGAATGCAGCATTTATTGGTTTGTTTGTGTGAGGAAGCATGGTCCGCACAACATTGACAAAAGAACTACACATTTGGGAATGTCCCATTTATTTCATTGTCCCATTATCCATCATCATCGCGACCACGGTGACTCAATCCATATCAGAGTCGGACTCAAATTATCTTCCTTATTTTTCGCGCTCAACATCAGCAAACTTCATTCGATAGATACTCCACTTCTGAACGAGATGCGGTACTGCCCGAGTTTTAGAAACCCCGTAGCTTAGTCCCTTGTGTAAACTCTCTGGAAGTTATTCGTGTTAATGATCATCACAGGGGGCTTTCACAGTAGGATCTGTACACTAGTGACTGAAGCACTACTCTTTTTGTCTTCGCCACGATTCTCAATGGTTGGTTGAAGCTATTTCAGATCTCGCACTCTGAATGGCCACGTTCCTTAATATTAGCGCACACTAAACATCTTTCAGCAGAAGATATTTAGGACCACGACCAGCGTTTTCCTATGGTAGTACGATCCCAGTTATCTTGCTTAAGGGTGAGAAATGGGCACGAATCCCCGAAAAAGTTCTTGTGGTCTTGGAGAAATTCAGAACACAATGATCGACTCGGAAATCCAGAACTTCATGCTCGCTTTGCGTGCCTGCTACAACATAGCCGTGGACACTCTACGAACGTCTGTCTCCCTACAAATGCATTCTGTCCGGCCAGAAAGCATGGAGGAAAGTTGCAATTATTTGGATACTAGATATGGTTGACATCCTTGGAGCTGGGAACCTGATAACCTTTTACTCGAAGAAACTACTGATACGAGTCGAAGGTAAGAAACAACACTGCTCTCCGTCGGTCCCATAGCACAGGGTGAATATTCGAGCTAAAGCTGTGCTGGTAAGCACACAGCCTCCTCTCCTTAGAGCTGTGTTGGTGTCATCATGATGTAGTCACCACTGAATAAAAGCGAAGAGCCTAGTTCGCAGACCACATTCAATGCAAAAGCAGCAAGAATCGTCTTTTTTGTTTTTCATGAATTGGTCGCGTTTACCATGAATGATGTCAATGTGACAGTGATCACACCGCACATACTCCTGAACTCGAGTGCAGGGGCTGCGTTGTATACGACTTCTGTGACGATGGGACTTCACCAGTCCGGACGTGGCCATCGAGGGAGCTGGAGCTGAGATGACATGCGGACTGCTGAATCGATATTGGATTAGCTCAACCGAGAAGAACGTGCATCTTCGCGTGTAGAGAGTCACGAATCCATCCACACTGATCGCACTCCACATACGTGAATGTGAATTATTTTCCTGAGCCCGCTCGCGTATGAGAGAGATCAGATATCGGATCTTCCGGAGGGAGGCAGGGAGAGACACGCTCAGCTCATCCTCGGAAACTCTGACTGCGCATGCCATTCTGAGGGACTTCAGATCTAATTGGAAACTTCTCATTCAATCCTCTGTCAACGCCCCATACGATCGACATTGTCTCCAATGACACAATCGTTAAAGCTTCGCTGAATGGAGGACCAGGTGCTTTGAAAGAACTTCAGACACCGAGATTGTCGTCTCGGTGCACCACAGCAGCAGCCTCGGGCGAAGACAATCAGACACTCAGACGGAAGTCAACCACATGCAGATCACATCCGCCGGTGTACATGGTCCCTTGGCCCCTTAGTGTGGAGACTCGACAGCGATCCGATTGCTCATGCGCCATAGTAGGAGCTATTGCGCTCCAAAAGGCACGCTGTCATCCACTGGCTCCAGATCCGTAAGTCAACCGGAAATCATGACGATGAAAATGTCAGCGCTCGAGGGGTGAATCGTCCGATTCCGGTTCCCCTATCACGTCTACAATGCAGCAGTTTCTTGAAGACTTCTTCTCTGTGTACTTATCCTGTCACGAGGTCCTATTGGACTATGTCCTGAGCCTTTAAATTCATATCGGCATCTCTGTTTGCGAATTGGTTGGTTTACGAGTGCAGATAGCACGTGGGTTAAACCTCCTCCCACGAGTAGAAAGAGGCGGTTGGCAACTCGATAAATCTATTTTGGGCCGGGGTCTCGCAAAAGCAGAAGCGAACTCATTCCTTCTCGAGAAACGCTGTGAACACCATCCAGCAAGTCAGATTCAACGCCTGGCTGGAAATCAACTCTCGCGCTCATCAATTGTGCAAAAGCTTCTTGGAAGATAAATATCATTCGACTGGAATCTCAAAAGTGCGTCGTGTGACTTGACTTGTCGACGGGTCATGACATCGGTACACCGCAACCCCCTCCTCATCAAAATATCTGTTAGTTAAAGTTCTGCTCTGGAGACGACAATCACACGATGAGCTCATGCAGACCACAGGATGCAGGCACTCACTCATTAGAGTTTTTACGTGACAGTGCAATGTCAAATGCACCTCTGACATCAATCGCTTATATGCGTTAACTCCAATTATCATTCCACTTGCAATTCCAATTTGCTGCGAACCTTTTTTCTGATCGAGCTGTTTCATATCCACCTGACGTTGAGACAAAGTTCCGGCTCTGAGCCTAACGAAGTTGACTCGCACTTGTGCCAATCATGAAACCTGCAGTTTCTGTACGTAGTCGTTGGCCTGAAAGAACTGCAAGAGAAAAAATACTGGGCCATTCATCTTGTTTAGTTACAAGAGGATGAACTGATTGATATCAGCTCAACTTTCCTGATACCAATTGAAGGTCTGTCCATGGTTAGTCTTGGACTTGACCTCCAACATAAGCATTGTAGTACTATCATGGTAGCTGTCGATTTTTATACGACATTGTGGCGGGCTGAAGGAGATCTTAATCCGCAGTTTTTGTACATTCTAGTTGAACTGAAGGTGAACTCACTGATAAGTAGTCACTTGTATATTTGTAGATAGATCACCATTGAACCGTTGCTGTACGTGAGAACATCAAATAAAGCTATGAAGAGGTGTTCACCGTAGGAAACGTGTACAGCAAAGCTATATTTTATTAAAGTGAAGATCTAGGCCAGGTTGAGAGGCCGCCACAGACATTGACTAGGATAGAATCAAACTCTTCTGAAAATACCAGATGACACAGATTTGTTGCAACAAGCTATAAGCTATCTGACTTTTGACTGAGTTACAGACATGTTTGGAACTCTTCAGTTGTTGAAGTTTACGAAGATGATATGATTCCTTTTATCTGTTGAAGACAAAGGAGCACAATGTTCATTGAAGTTTACGAAGATGATATGATTCCTTTTATCTGTTGAAGACAAAGGAGCACAATGTTCATTGAATTTTAATGAATGTCCGGAAATGAATATGACTTCTGAGATGGTACTTGTATCGATCATTCTCCCTTGTTGTAGACCTCCGAAGACGTATAAATTCGCTTATAAATATCTCTCAAAATATGGCAGATATCGTCCATATTTGAAGAATCGTAATGGTTACCAGCATTTAGTCTGAGACTCGAAAAAAGAAATCGAATCTGACTTGTAATTATCGAAGAAGTTGTATATGTGTATCCCATGAATATGGGAATCAGAACCTACTTTGGAAGTCTTGTGATAGTACATGAAGTTTGTGAGGAAGGACTTGAAGTATATTGTATGTAAATTTCTCAAGTTGAATTGAAGAAAGGTTCTTCCAAAAATGTCTATCAGCAAAAGCCCCATAACAAACTGCATTGCAAGTATGTCAACCAGAAAACGTAATTTTCTACATTGCACAGAGTGATATAATATCTATCTGAAGATGATTAGCAGTGTCTTCTATGCCTTGTACTATTTTAAGTTACTTGATAGGGTGGGGATGAGGTCTGAACTAGACTGCCCTCGGCTCGAAGGCCTATAAAAGCCGAAATCTGTGTATCAGTTTTACAAGCTTCACTGACTCTTAGACTCTCAGTCTCAGAGTTCATCAGACCAAGCATCACTGAGTGCTCTCTTCTAGCTCTCCGCACTTCATCGCCTGCAGTCATGAGGACCAAGTACACCATCGCCGTTGCAGTAGCTGTGATTCTAAGCATAGCGACCTTAGTGGCGGCTACTTCTTACCAATCCAAGTGCTATAACGACTCGGAACACGATGTCGAGGTCAGGATCAAGCTGATTCTTGGTCTCGATGTCCTGGGCCTGATCACCGTCGTCAAGCACACGGTGGTAGACATCCTCTACACTCTCAGCGGTTTGATAGCTGGTCTGCTCGGACTCACATGGAACCTCAGCTGCAAAATCAACAACATCATCTACAGTTGTGACGTCTATGTTCCAGTGGGTGGCACAGTGAGGTGCTATGACGAACTGAACAAGGTGGCGGTGTCGGTCAATGGTATCTTCCAGACGTATATGACCTAGTGTAAGTGTCTCTCTCACGGCATACTGTCAACTTCGTAAACTGAACCAGAGATCTTCTTTACTTGAGGCTTTAAATGTCCCTTGTACTTTGACATATGTTCACGAAGGATATCAGAGTTTCTGGACATTTTTCAAAAGAAACAAGAGCTGCAATAGATGTTCGGAAACTTCGGAGTGGTCATGACGATAACCGACTCGTCTCGTCTTCTGAAATGTAACGTTGCTTGTTGCAGAAATGAGCATCTGAGCATAGCTGAAATCGATCTTCTGGACGCGTTTCGGTGCCATTTTGCTATGGAGATAGTGTCTGATGCATTGCGGTTTCGTACGAACGCGATGGCCTCAGCATATGCAAAACCATCTGGTTGACTCAACGCATACAGGAGCATAGCTACTGCCTCAAAAGTATAATGTATAATAATGTACCAGACTGTATACTAGAAGAGGATGCTTCGAAGCTCTGAGGAAGTGCGTGTAGTACTGGCAGTCAAAATCTTTTATGCTGAGTGCAACGAGCGCTCAGACGCAAGTTTTTTGACCGTCCAATTCGCATGTAAAGCATTGCCTACTCAATAAAGTGTCTTTCTGGAATCAGTGGTCTTTGTTGACAAGCATTGTGCATCTATTGAAATTAATAGATCTCTGTCCTTACACTAATAAGGTCTGTGTAAAATACTATGACAGCAGATATCTGAATTTCAACATCCCACGTCATGCATTATCATTCACCCCAAGCCATGAACTATCTCCATGTTGGAACTGAGAGGGAAATTCACTGAATAGTCCTCATCATCCCTAGATCTCCCGCTAAAACTCGCAGAAATTTGCGTTCGATTATTGAACACTATGAAAGCGTATTAAAGCCACAGCCAAACCGCGCCAATCTTTGTGTCAAGGAGGTAGAAGTATAAGACTGAAACCCGCGTAGGTGTTCTACTTGATTGTTATAGAAATGCAGTGAACTGGAATTGCTTTTATAAAACCATGATCATGCCTTCATGGCCAACTAGTAATGGACGGCTTCATTAAGGATATTCACCGACAGAGCTGGCAAACCTTTAAACCAATCTCAGGAAGCACAGCCAAAAACTGGTAGTCGGAAACTGGAATCTGTATAAAAGCGTTACAGGCCTGCTTCACCCAGATACTGGAGGTTGTGCACTGAAGCCATCCATGAGTGCAACATTTCATGTGTAGATTCAGATGGTGTCTCGAGTTCGTAGCATGGCCGGCACATCCATGTGAGGGTTCATAACGTGTGAAACTTACGCTTCATAAACCCAACATTCTGAACTAAATTATCACTGCATGTGTAGACACACGTCGTTGTAGCCGTACTTAGCGGAACTTTCTCTGCAACATAACATATTTGCAGCCATAAATAATCCAAACCAGGAAGCTCAAGATTTGAATTCGTACTGATCTGTACGGCATGATAAAGGCGACCAAAACAAACGTGTAATGCCTTTTCCACCATGACAAGGAGGTACGTGGCCAACGCATGTTTTTGTCTTGGCGACATATTCATTGAAACTCTAGACTGAATTTATTTGTTTTGGAATGTTTCGATGCAAAGAATATGCCGTGATAGAAACTGCGATGTGAAATATTTGAAGAAGCAAAAGTCCCGCAAAAATGTTGGGAAAGAGACCAAATTCTGGATGACTTGCAAATGAAATATTCATGTAAATCAAACCAGGCAAGCAAGAAACGTTTCAACTCTTCCAGCAGACAGACAGACAGACACAGATAGATAGATAGATATATATATAAATACTCACTTACTTCATGATGTCAAATTTAAGATTCAAAAGATAAACAAAGAAGCAGTAATTGAGTAAGAAACATCATCATGGTCAGAATATGAGCTAATAGATTGCTTATGTGATGAAATTCTTAAGTATTAAGAGCTAAAAGGAAATCTACGACCAGGATACACTTAGACAACGTTAAGACTATGGCTAAATTAAAAAAATAATCGGTGACAAGAACGTTGTTCGGAAAATATCTCAAGATACTAAAATAACGGAATCAAAGTTGCATGCGCGAGAACTTGGATGTATACTCAAATTGAAACAATGGGAAGGTTTGAGATTCATAGATCTAAAGGCTGAATGCGATGGGTGAACTGAAACTCTCCTCCCTTGAACGTAATTCCTTGAATGCAACATTCTACACTCTCAGTAGATTGACATTTAAATGCTGCTCATAACGTGATTCCAGCGAATCGATCCATTGACACACGACCCTCACCGCTGTTGAGGATGGCTAAGTTGAATAAAAAACCACGAATACAAAGAAAAGGATTTTATACAACATGTAGAGGATTGTACAGTGCAATCAATTCCACGTTTTTGTACCCGAACTCCACAGGAACGTGAAGAAAGTGTATAAATCGTATAAATGTTCTCTTGGGTTTTACTCCTCTGACTGCGAGGCACGTTTCGACCTCTCGCTCTCACAGCGCTAACAGGCTCTGCCCCTCGTCCAGTAGTATCCCAAGTCCGATCTCTTCCTGTCACCAGCCCCAAGTCCAAGCGACGTCTCTCAACTTACGATGAGGACCAAAGAGATCTTCGCGGTGGCCATTGCCATGCTTTTCTCTTACAGTCTTTGCACAAGATTCTTTGCAGACTGCGAGGACCGAGGTTGGTGGTATCAAGAGCATGACTACCTCAATTTAGTGCTGGGCAGGTGATTTCGACGATCTTCCCTGGTGCTAGGACGAGGTTCATGGAAGGAATTCCCGGTGACTTTCTCGGACTTCATTTTATCCTCGTAAGCCTGGAAGCCTGCTCATCAAGTCTGAACATCAAGTCTATTCTTCCGTTCAAGACACTCGTCCAGACACAGATCTCTTGCAATAAGAATTATTAGATAGTTATATTAGCGACAAGAAGTTGATAAATTCAAAGAGAAGATAACTATGAAAAATATGGACAACTTAATAGAAAATGGATATAGTGAAAAGCAGAGGTGGACGATTTGTATGAAAGAATAATTAGATTCATTTGCCTCAATCTTTCAGTTTATGGCATTGCTTACAAAGTCTTCCACTACTGAAGCAATGTTATGATCTTTTTCATGAGACGAGAGAATCTTATTCCTGGTATCGTTTCCACTAGATCTGATAAAATATGACGTGATTTGAAAGCTTCTCCATCAAGGTTAAGTCTTACACTGTACATTCCTCATCAACTGATAATTTTGATGTTGAGGATCAAGGAGTTCACCAAGGCTTGTGTTTGTTGAAAGTTGTTTTGAAGCACAATCACTTCATAGCATATGCCAAACTCACGATCAAGCCAGCGAATAATGTCGTGGTTTATGAAGTGAACAGCTTTCCATTGCACATATCAAGGGATCTAAATCAGTGGATCCAAGATTGTATCAGTGCTCTCACTCCTTCCCCAAAGTTTCATTCGTGTGTAAATGATCCTTCAAGCATTTCACGTTCGAGGGCCGATCATGTTCTTGAGCAGGAATCGCTGCTTTTGACATTGAGCGATGACCCTTGTCCGCACTCACGCTTTTCTCGGAAAATGACATTCCTGAAAGCCACAGCATTCCATAAGCCAGAGTTTCTTTTCTTAACCCGTGAGGCTAGACGGCTCTGGAGGAAACTAACGAGCAAGAGCTCTCGGGTTCTACATCATTTCACGAGGAAGATGAGTCGGACTAGCCTGCTGTGCAAGTCCAGTGATCTAGAATTATATTTCGCATCCCGAGCACCATCACCACACAATAACGAGTGATCGACGATACCCACACGAGACGGCGGGTCCATTCAAGACATATTTTAATGAGACTAGAACCAAAACTTGGGGTCAACTCAAGTCAATAGTCACAAATATCATTCTCAAATAACAAGAATAAGAAATCTCAAGAGAATAGTTCTTTTTCTTTTCACGCTTCCACGTTGTGATGATAGTACAGCAGGCTGCATAGAGTTTTCATTCTACATCAGGTTACGGAATCGCCACCCTTAGTACAACAGAGATACTTGGAGACGACAATCATCAAGTTTTGTGCAATAGTTCAAGGTCTTGTTCAAGTCAGCAGATGAAGTGTTCTCGCATGTTATGATGCACTGCGTGCATGAAGGAGGAGGAGGAGGAGGAGGGGCTTCAATGTCCTTGCGTAGGGCTGCAATGAAGGTTGTCTTATACCACGGAGATTCTGAAACCAGCTTCCAATCGGAGCGAAGGTCAGCAAGAGTGCTCGAAGTCGGAGAATGCCCTCCCGTTGACTTTTGCTTCTTAAGACACAGAACGAGATTTGCGCAAATCTGCTTAGCCCTGCGCGGTCCGTCCAACACATGTCAAAGCCGAGATGTCGCGACATGCGTCCTTCCTGCGACGCTTTCGCAACATACGAGGGCATCGTGCGAGGGTCGAATGGCATGCGCGTTCCAAATCGGTAAAGTGCTTAAGAAGGCCAGCAGCTGCTGTTGCTGCCAGCGACGTCTTTATACCTTTACGTGTCAGAGTTTGGGTCTTGCAGACGCCACAGATTGTGATTGGGTCACGGCATCTGTTCCACAATACAGCGACGATCCTGAAGGTTTCTGTTTCTGAAGGTCTGTTCTACTTTGGTGCTGCTCCTTCCCTCGAACGATGTGTTACAGCAGAGTGCAGAATTTCGCGCGTTTTTTGTTTCAGGGATTGTACATTCGTGATCAGCTGAAGAGATTTTGGGTATACCGACAAGCAAATTTTGTATTAGTTTACTCTTCATGATTTTTATGATGATTCTTGGATTATTGAGGTGTATAAGTAGGGTTTGATTTGTTCGAATTTTACTCTCGAAGTAAAATACTTTCCCTTCCAAGTTTTAATGTTCGGAAAGGGTTTTTCATTTTGTCTACTGTTTTTTTCTTTTTACAGTGTTATAAGTAAATATCTGATGTTATAGATCATGATATATATAGATTATATTTTTTATTTTTCATGGACAGATTTTTCGTATATTGTCGAACAATCTATGATATTTCAGTTTCGCATTGTTGTAACAGATGATTTGTCTGATAGATATTTATGTTGGCCGATTTTATTACTTTCATTTTTTAGTGATTTTAAGAAGAAATATTTTTCTTCTAGTCGTTATATTTCGTAGTATTCATGTGAACAGTTGAGGCAAAAAGTATTGTCTAATTTCGTGAATACTATCGTATGTCCCATGGATTTACAGATTTGTCAAGTCAGCACTGTCTTCCCCGTTATGAAGTGGCATTACAGTTCCATAAACAGGACGTATATTTAACATTAGCTGCACATCGTATGATCGGGTCTGCTAATGCCAGGCCAGCACAATAGAAAACGTCTTTCAATGACTTTCGTGAACAAATCTTGAGCGTGGAGAAAAACGAATAAGACCAACAACGTGTTTTATTGAATATAAACATTTACAGAGCTGAACTATTCAGAACTATTGACAGCAATCTTTCAGTTCCACAATGGTGCACACGGTCACCAGTTTGTCCTCATTCAGTGTCACGACTATGTTTCTGCAACTTGGAGACTATGTATTCGCCTCTTGGCTTCATCGATCTTCCTGGCTGATAAACTACGGTCCTCGAGAAGCAATTTGTGGACGAGAATCCGAGACCGGGACGATCACCACTTGCCCTTATCAACTGGTCGCCAAAGTATGAAGCAAAACGTTGACAGCTAACAAGTATTGGAAGGACAGGTCTTTGATGGATTCAACTGACGCCAAATGATCACATACCTGTACATCCATTCAGATTCACAATGTCAAAACACAACCAAAGTTGAGCATTACATCGGCAAACAGATGGAACTGCAAAACTGAGAGGTTCTGATACGGAGGTCTTCTTCGTGTCGTTTCATACCAGGAACACGCGCAGTTGTTGCTGTGGACTTCTGCGTCTAGAAGAAGTAGACCTTGATGACTCCGTTCACAGCCAAGCAGAGTTTGCCGACAACGGGTGCGTAGACTCTCACTTCAGCACCCAGGGGCACAACGACGTCGACGCTGTGGAGAACTCCATCGACAATGCACTTGACCTTCCAGGTAAGGCCGAGCAGACCAGCTACCAGCCCTGCGAGGGTGTACACGATGGTCTGGACGGTGTGCTTGACGATGTGAATCAACCCATCGACCGTTAGTCCGGCAATCACAACAATCTGAACGTCAATGTCGAAGTCTGAGTCGTTGATGCACTTGGACTGGTACTGGGTTGCGCCGTATGCCAGACCCGCAGTGGCAAGCAGCACTGCGAAGGTGGCTGCGATGGCATACTTGGTATTCATGGTGAGTGAAGAATTCGAGGTGCCGGGCAAGATCGGAGTAGAGGAGGATTCAGATGCACAACTGGAGCGTGCTGAATGCCTTCTGAATGCTGGAGAATTGGGAAATGATGAAATTGAAGTTGCAGTTGCAGCTATTTATAAGTGGAGAGACAGAGTGCCGGAGGATAACTTATGCTTAAGGGTAAGTTCAAGGAAGGGTAAATTCTTGGTATTTTCCGGGTAAGGAGAAGTGCAATCATCACTGCAAGGATGAAACCAGATCATTAAAGCGATGGAATCTGGATATAGCTGCACCGCAATTCAAACTTGTCTTCAGGAAGTTGTCTTAACATCAACTCCGGTAGCAGCTAAAGCTTATTGTATACAGTAGGTGCTCCCCATAACCGCTCGCTCCCAACTTAAACGTGAATCACGTAGTGGAAAACGATAAAAATAGAAAATAAGGGAAGACAAGAGTGAAGTTCATGATACAGACTGAAACCTTGGCAATCTTCCTGAATAAACATAATAATATATGTATGCTACAAATGTAATCGCAGAAGCGGTTAAAGCCATATAGGCTCTCATTGACTATCTGGCAGGGTGATTTTAGTTTGCAATAAGTCTCAGCGACTGTATTGGCGTTTGCTCTCCTTTGTCAATCCTTCAATATCACATGAAAAAATATTTGTATTTTCGTTTTTACAAACCTCTGTACCTAGCCCTGGAAGGGTGCTCCTTGCTTCCAAAAACTTGGAGACTCCAGGGCTAAGCTCGCTCCTGGAAACTGACTTTCTGTTGGGTAAGTTTGCCAACTCCTATCAAGACGTGCCACCGTTGCTGCGCTCCTAAAAATGGTCAGACTTGATACAAGGCACGCAGCCTTGAAGCGCTGTTTACCTTGGCGAAGGAAAAGGCGCTTACCTCGCCAGGAGTAACCAAGTCTACCAAAGGTGACACGAAGTTTTATGAAATATATGCCACAGTGATCTTATGCAGCTTGACCATGATGCTTCAAACAATGCTCCTCCTTAGCATTCATGCATGATGCCTAGCCACACTCGGAAACCTATGATATGCTCTTTTCTTTCTGTTCGATATACTGTAGATATATGGTACGTTGGTTATCGTGTCATCTCTTTCCCATCTGAGAATATACGTCAGATCCTTGGGACATTAGTCTTGAAAAAAGTATCTCCGGTGGCTTTTCTGTGCACAATGATGAGATGAATGTCTGTCCTAGTGTTGTGTGCAGGACAGAAACTTGGAAACTTGAAAGACACTCAACTTGGAAGGGTATCTTCCTCGTAACTTGATTTCGTTAAGAAAGGGGTCCTCTTGAACCTCTGTCTTACTTCTTTGGACTGAAGCTAAAATCTGACATTCACAACTTGCAGCTCAAACCTTTGCTTCAAATTGACTCAGGTCTGTCCGAGGGACCTATGCAGAGAGAATATAATGTTTATGAAGAGTTGAACGAATGATGATAAGATTGTAGTTAAACAAGAATACTGCAGGTTCGTTCAACTGTTTCTCACCATGATCCACATCAAAACTGCTTTCCGTTGTATATTGTTACGATCGACTTATAACCGAATTCATCAGTTACCAGCTAAGCAGAAAGTCGAAGATTATAAATGAACGTCTTACAATCCACGGTGACATTCATTATGTTCTTAAGAAGTTGATCGAGATGCATGAATGCCCTCTTGATCAGGACTAACAAGACAAACATCTTCCAGCATCAAGCAAAACTACTGATAAGATACCTACTGTACGAGTCGAAGCACTCCCACCAAGCGAGTGAAAGAGAGAAAATAGAAAGGATGCAAATGGTTATCGATACACGTGATCTGATCTGTAACCAGCAGTTGGAACAAACGTTGGCAAAAAGGAGACCATTTTCTTGACGTGTAGCTCAAAATCTGATGTTGGTCTGGACACCACATCAAAATGTCTGCCTATCAAAACCTACAATTGACACATTCCAAAATCTCAACGGAGTTTTTCGAGTACCCCGGTTTAATAAGACTAGTCGAATAAATAGAAACTCAGCCACAGATTGTCACGTCCGGACATTCCTGGCCACTTGAACACGCTCTTAACTTCTGATATCACCTGAGAAACTATCAGCTCTCGATGCGATAACGTTCTCGAAATTCGGTTTAACGAGTCAGCATCATCGCCGCTATCCGATAACTTGTAGCATTCAACTCTATGCTTCAAAATTCTTGGAGCAGTTACTCATTCACTTCAACGTATTCGTTGAGAATCAGTTTGATATATACTATTTAAATTTTTTAACGTAGTGTGGTGTTAGCGCGGACAGAATGTATCCTTGATATCTTGAAGACCATGCCTAGGAGATTATCCAACCATCTTCTAAAACAATACGCTCACGACGCAAAACCTTCGAGGGACGTCCAGATAATTTGACGGAGATGTAGCTCTAGCATGATCGTATGGAAATGTTCAAAAATATCTCTGATCGTAGTAAAACTATCTGAAGTAACTATTGTGCTCGAGATCGAATTGATTGGAAAATTTCCTATCTGTTGGAACGATAGTCATTACCCGCTCGTGAATTCCTGAAGCTCACCACGAACGTCGTCAAACGTTCTCTAGCGCTAGACTCTGTGACAGGTGTGCAGTTATAAGCGTTCCTGGCTGCTGATGATTGGATGCAAGTGCGGTTGGGTCTCATCTATGCAGGCCACCTCTTCGGCCTTCTGTCAGACCTCGAGGGCCCACCTCATGTTTTGTTTCTCGAGCAGGTGCGAGCATATTTCATCCAGTTCGACCCTTTATTCTTCTCCTGCTCTCGAGCAGAACCCCTAGCCTCTGCTGCCATCGTCTGACTCTTCCCTGACTGCCTAATACATCTCGAAAGACAAGAGCTCCCTTCAGAAACAGAACTGCTGAGCTCGACAGCGCGACACTCGTCCAACTTTAGAATGCCGAGAGTCCCCTGCAGGCTGCTTCCGGTACACACTCAAAACCGTTCTTCGTTCCGTGGACAAGATCTCTTATCTGCATGACGTCAGGGTTGGAAAGTCAGAACTGTCCAATCCGGCAGATGAATTGCAGATGCGGGCGGCGTTGAGGGCACAGAAGTCCACGCTATTACTACGAGCGGTTGGTTCATTCAGTAGCTACTCACCTCGCAAGCGCATCTGCCTCTTAAGAGCCAGACCACAAGGACGTACAATGATCGTCACAGCTGCTAAAATGAGCTGACCTCTCGAAATCGAGCAGGAAGTTACCATGGGCCAGACGTCAGAGTAGTGATCAGACAGAGCCGGTTCTGACAGCTCCTTTTCTTATTTCGGGCAATCCTCAACACAAACGAGTGATTGGCGATGAACTCGTGTTGACAGTCTTGAAGCACGTCGATATATAAGTCTAAACATGACTTTAATACCATCTGATCTCTGTCATATAGTATATTCCCTTAGTGCACTTTACGTTTCGATTTCAAGGAGACCAGTATGTAAAATACATTGCAATTAAGGAGCGAGACAGATTGCGATGGTTAGCAAGACAATATGAGAATCGTGGCCAGTTTTTCACATTCCCATTTTTAGGCCTACCTCCGAGTCTTAAGTGGGATGAAAATATTCAGATATACGCTCTCGCCGAGTCAATCCTTAGAAAAACGGGGCCGTGCTATTTCACCACAAATCCTCGAGTGGCAGCAGAAGGGTTTCTTTCCCTGATCTGCAATTTAATTATGTTTATCATGCCCTTGTACTTCAGAATATGGGCTTCCCCCCCGGCCCCATCTTCCTTGTGCTCTCCTTCCACTGTGACCCTTCACTTGACTTGAATTTTCAGAATAACTCAGCGGATATCGTTGAAAATAAGACTCTGCCCTTTAATGGCATTAAAATTTAATTTTCCACATCTCCGCACACTTAAATCAATTACTCGAATGACTTGAGCCTCATCGCTTTGCAGGTGCCCAAAGTATCTGCAGACATTGTTCAGACTAAAAATATGATCATCACGTGCATACGGAATTACGTCGCTTACTACGATCTGCATTTCCAAAGCCTCAAAGGGATTCTGCTGAATGCATGACTCTGAAAGTGTCAGCAGGTTTTGCAGTCAGTATTACTCGACGTGATGATGATGCGTTTATTGGCAAAAAAGAGTGAAATATCTTGGTCTTCAATACCGATTTGTATTACCCTCTTCCACGTCTTAGAGTAGGGATTCAGTGTCTACTGTAAAGGGCAGACCATCGATCTGAAGTTCTATTCCTTTCGATGATAAGAAAGTAAGAACCCCTTCTACACACTCGGGGAACTTACCTCTTGACTGCTCTCATGAGACGAGGAATATGAAGGGTAAAATCACATCAATATGTTCAAAAATTCCATCCAAGTAACTTTCCCGGCGTAAAAACTGATCGAACGAACACCGCCTTTAGCTGGGCAATCGACTAATGCCACGGGTAAGGCCCTGCCCTGCCATGCCATGCCGATATTACTGGGACACGCAGTCATGACAGTCAGTTCGGCATCGAATCCTTTCCTCTGCCCTCGCTCTTCCGCCTTGTATTCATGTTTTTTAAAGTTAAACGTACAGTAGTTTCTTCCTCCTCCCTCACGTAGCCCCAGAGTCTCGCTTGCATGCGTAGTTGTTCTTCAGTCGCACTAAGTCCCGTAGACTCACAGGAACACAGACCGTCCATGTGTACCGTCGTGTACACTCTCACTGGTGTCGTCGCTGCTGCGCTGCACGGTCTCACCTGGAAGGAAGGAAAGTCAAAAGTATCGTCCATGCAGTCATCCACAGCGTCGACGTCGAAGTGAAGGTCTACGCACTTGTCGTGGGTCGGTGTGCGCATCGATCACAAAACGATCGGAAGGTAGGATTTCAACCACATGGACATCGATGGGTGACATGAACTTGAAGATTGTACTCTCAGAAGCTTTCTGAGAGCAGAGAGGATGACTTGACAAAATAAGTCTTCTGAACACATGTCGGATGCTGATATTTTCGCCGGTTTACTGCACTTCATCGCTTGGCACAATCTAGCATCCTCGGCACAATCTAGCAACCTCTCCATGCCATCAACTCCTAATTGATTGGATAACTGTCCTGATGTTG